TATCAGGGGCGGAGTCAAGATTTAATCACAGAGGAGGACTAGAAGGAACACAAACAATAAAGGGAAAATTCTTCAAATGAGACTAAAATAAAAATAAGATTCATAAATATAACTATCATTGTTTTATTCTAGAAATAAGACTTATTCACTCTTTTCTGGAAAAATTTAATAAAAAACGAGTAATTTTTTAATTAGACTAAATAAGTTATATTTCAGGAATAAAACAAATTTTGTCTTATTTTTATTCATATGTATGTAATTATTTTAAGATGAATGATCATGGTTGACCTACCAGACATGATTTGCCGTTTGACCGCCTATGCTTGAGGTTCTTTCGGGTAGATTATTTTGATAAAATTTTGTGAGCATGTTCTTCATGATTTGGAGATTATTTACACCAAATTTCAGTTAAAAATTCAATCGGGAAACCAGTTAAAGAAATTATTGAAAAACATTGTACAAAATAAATAAAACATATTCCCCCATAATTTATTTAATTGACTTTCTAGTTGAATTTTAAGTCAAATTTTGTCAGATTGACATTTAACGAAAAACATTCTCACAAATTTTCAATAAAAAACTCTATCCAAAAACATTTCAAATGGAGGCTTCTGCCTTTTAGTTGTGACATAATCTTTTCTGATTATTTCATAAATAATAATAGTACTATTGTCCACAAGCAAATCAACTTTACTTATAAACAGACAAAATATTTATTAATAATGTAAAGAAATTATATAAAGACACTAGATCAAACTTCTTATTCCAATAATGTCATACAGATAAGTATTTCAAAATCACTTGTTTGATTTAAATAATAATTGGATAAATTAGCATGCCAAGCCAACCATTTAATGTTTGATTAAAAAGTGATTAATAAACCAAAAGATGTTATCGAATGTCTTCTTAATTTTCAGTGTCAGAGAAAACTACTCCCTACATTCCACTAACACTGGCAAACGATTATTAGGAAAAGTAAGTTTACGTTGTTGATATTGAATTGAAAAAATAAAATTCAAGAAACAGTCATTTAAAATCACACATATTTTATCATATGTGACAATCTTAAAGGGATTGACCGAAAAAGAAATGAGTTGTGCTAGATGTACACATAAAGTTGTCTGTACATAAACAATTATATGTGCTTAAGATAGACGAATGTACAAAAAGTGTACACAAAAATATGTACATCAAGTATGTATGTGACCATCGTAGTGAGGGAGGGAAACAAAAAGAATTGAAATAATTTGAAGTCAAATATTCCGTATGAAATACGTAGTAAGACTCAGAGCCCGTTTGGCAGCATGAAAATCGGCCGTTTTGGCTGATTCTGCTGAAATTTATGAAATTCTGGCTGAAGTGGCTGCATTGGCTGATTCTGCTGATACAAGAAAAATATATTTTTAAAATATATTTTATTAATAAAATAAATAAAAATCTATATGTAAAAATAGCTAAAATAGTCATCTACAGTAACTTCAGCCAATACAGCCAGAAAAGTAACTCCAACCTTACTTTTTCGGCTTATTACACAATTCAGCGCGCGAAAGCAAAATTTACGTGTTTGGTAAAAAAGTTGGTTGATAAGCCTGATAAGCCGAAAATGAGGATTGCCAAACGGCCTCTCATCAGAGTATACGTAGTATTTTATTGCAAATACTCCGTATGATTTATTTATTCCTTTAAATTGTAGAATTAAATATAAAACTGCTTGATGTACACATCTTGTACACACCTTATACACACCATGTTTGTGAAGATTTTTTTATCCGTGAATTCGGTTCACAAACAATATTTTGTTTGTGCAAAACAATGTCTGTGAGTCGATGTTCACATACAAAAAAAATCTTTCACAAATATAGGTGTGTAAAAAAGTGTATATAAGAGTGCGTATAGAAGGCTTTTTTGAATTAAATATTCCGTGTATATGGACGTGAGTGAGTCATGTTGTGGTTTGGGCGAGATGTGTGGTTGGTAGGATGAGAAGGGAATAAAGTAGCTGAGTCAATGGTGCTGGCTGGTCAAAAAAGGGACAATTCGCTTTCTAGGGAAAACCAAAAGGAACCCACCCTTCTGCGGCTAATCAATCTGAAATCCAATCACATCTCTCCTTCTTTCCTTTCTCTCGTGTATTACTGTAATTATTATGGTCTCCTGCAAACATAATTTTCCCTACAACATTCTCCTGCGACTCCACTCTCCAGGCCTATTCCTGTCCGTAAAATGAAAATATAAAAGGGCAAATAAGGAAAACACAACATTTCTCGGAAAATTCCATTTGTAAAAAAAGATCTACACCCCATCCCTGACTCGATGAGGCCCCCAACACTGACCGAACAATTAGATAAGAGAGTGAGACTCTGATCCTGATACTTGCAGAGACTCTATGCATTTTAGCATATCAACCTTTCATGAATGTTGCCGAGATTCGAACCTGAGAGTTACCCCTTGTGACACTCCCTATCCACCGATTGAGGTAAAATTTCCTTTGTACACGCCACTTTTTACACATCGGTCAAATTGTCTGTGCACGGACAATTTTATCGGCGTTTTATGACGAAAACTGATTTTCACACATACAAACATAAAATGTTTGTATGTATGACAGGCGTTTTAAAATTCTCGTTTAAAATTATCATTTAAAATTATCTATATCACGGACATTTTATGAAAAATTCTCGTCTAAAAAGTTTGTGATACACACAACTTTTTGTTTTTGTTTGTGTGGAAATCAATTTTCTTCATGAAAACGCTAGTCAAATTGTCTGTACAGAAAATTTGACTAGCGTGTACACGAAGCAGGACTCATATTTCTCCCTTCATAAACTTCTCCCAACTTTAATGTAATGTAAACAAGAAAATAAAGAGAGAAGTACTTTAGGTAGTACTCCTTTCATCTCTTAAAACTTTGGGTAAACAATGAATATGTTATTAATATTAAGGTCATGAAAATGTTTTTTAATTCTTTTTGTTTTGCCAAAAAACATTTTTCGCCAAAAAAATCATTTTGGTTTTGCAAAAAAAAAAGGATTTTTTTCAATAGCAGAGGTTTACTTAAATGGTAAATGTATTTTATTTTTAATATTAAAGCCATAAAAATGTTTTTTTAAATTGCTTTTTTTGCCAAAAAAAAAACAATTTTCTTTTGCCATTTTTTTGCAAAACAATGATTCTTTTGTTTCAATAGTAGTACTTTATGTTCTGATGTAATTTGTGTTATGGTAAATGTAACTCGCGTAAATGGAAAATCTAACTTATGTGTATGCAAAATCTAACTTATGTGTATGCAAAATGTAACTTTTTGAGTCAAACCCAAATGTAACTCACGCATTGAAAGATGTAACTCACGCACACGAAGATGTTACTTGCACATAAAAAGATGCAACTCGCGCACAAGAATATTTTACTCCCACATTAGAAGATATAACCATATACTATCAAATGTAAGTCCTTATAATGTCTATGAACATAACTTACACATATGAAAAACCAAATCTCATGTTTTATCAAATTTAAAGCAAAATCGACAAACTTAATGTTCTTAAAACACTAAAACATATAAAAGAGATCAGAATTTTATTATAGAAAAAGTGTATGAGTATGAAAAATATTTTACAAGAAAAAGTGTATAAATGCAAAAAGAATACACAAAATAAATTCGGTAGTAATTTAAGACGAAGAACAAAGTAAAAAAGTTGTGTGATTATGAAAAATATACTTATTTTATGTGGGGTTAATCAAATTTTGTAATAAATTGGTGAAGAAAGAAGTTAATGCAGTTGTAATTTAATTAGTTAAAGATAAGGATAAATAAAAAATAACAAATAATTAGATGTAACTCGAACATGATTAGATGTAACTCGCGCATAAAAAGATGTAGCCCGCCCGCGTATAAGTAGATGTAACTCACGCATAATAAGATGTAACTCACACATAATATTATCAAATGTGACTCCATGATTCAAAATAAGAAAATTCAATGTCTTAAAAACCTCTAAAAAACAAATATAAGAGACAATAAAATATTATAGAAAAAGTGTATGTATATAAAAATATATTACAAGAACGTGTATGAATATAAATAATATATTAAAATATATTACATAAATTAAAATAGTGTTTGAATGTGAAATGTAATATATTTATTTTATTTACATTAATATTACAAAAAAAGTGTATAATACAAACAAATATTATAGAAATAAAAATAGTGTATGAATTTGAAATGTAATATACTTATTTTGTTTACATTAATATTTTTTGTTATGAATTGATAAAGAATAAAAAAGTAGATCGAGTTGTAATTTAGTTTGAAGATAAAAAAGTAAAATCCAAATTACATTTTTAGTATTTGATGCAAAAGAAAAATGAATTGTAGAAAAAAAAAGCAAAGAGAAGAAAAAATTGCTCAAAGGATTTGTGGGATTGGTGGAATTGGTGGGAGTGCTGAAAGAGAATAAGGATGTGCATGGAAATAAGGGATTAGTGGGATTGGCACATCATGCGTATGGTGTATGTGTCGATCCCACAATATAATTTGTCATTGTAGAGGGTTGAAAAACATTGAATGCAAGAGACTTTGTCTCTCTAGCTCTCACTTCTCTCTATATCTATAATCTATCACCTATATTGTGTAAAATCAAAACCAGTAAAGTTGAAATTACTTTTCGGGTTGAATTGACTGAAGTTGCTCAAGAGGACCATTAACTATTTTCTCATATATATTTTTTCATTGTTTAATAACTAAATATATTTTAAATATAATTTTCTCATAATTTAACATGTTCAACTAGTTCAACTTTAGAGATATTTATGTTGTGATCAATGTCTAATTATTATATGCCTCTTGTTGTATTTAATATCGAATAGTATAGCTCAGAATAGATAAAGGTCAAGGGAATAATTGGGCCACATTGAAATAAAGGTCCAATCATCGTAATTATCTATCCATTCCTTAGGCTATAAATATGTCTTTAAAGGAATAGATGAGACAACTTTCCCACACGCCTCAAAAAAATTCCTTGTGCCTATCTTTTTTAATGTGAGAGAAGAGAGAAAGTTTCTACGCTAAAGTTCTTCATCTTTGTAAAGGAGATGTGGGATGAGATTTTCAAGATCATGCAAGAAACTGAAATTGATGTGAAGGCTAAGAAGGCAAACACATTCACTACTTATGACTCATTCAAAGCAAAGCTGGGAGAATCACTGGAGGATAACTACATTCGCTTTCTGAGACTAATCAACGAGATGGGGAAGATCAACGTTCAGAAGTTCAATATGGAGCTGAATGTGAGATTCTTGTCATCTCTAGCCCCTAAGTGGAGGAAGGTGTTGTTGACATTATATCTCCCAACAAATTTTGTTCTCAGAATTGCATTACAACAACGATTCAGATGAAAGTTGGAATATTTACATGTGTACTGTGTGATAAAACTCAAGCGACTGAATATGTGGTGATCTTTCTTAAATTAATAGTGCTTAGTGCAATGCATTCCAGTCAAGTGAACAAGTCAAAACCTCTAAAGGCTAAACAGAACTACAAAATTAAAGTTGCCAAACAGACCTTATGTTATACATAAAAGTAGAAAATGTATCCAATTACACTTATATTTTTCTTAATTAAATCATTCTCTTTCAGTAAAATCACATACTCCCTCCGTCCCATTTTACTTAGCCAAACTTGACTTTTCAAGTCAATGACGTCTAACTTTGACCGATTATATATTTATATAAAGAAAGTATTAATAATATGAAAATGATATGAAAATTTTCTTTGTTAAAAATACTATCATAAAAGTAAAAAATTATTAAATTTTGCATAAATATACTAGTTTAAATAATTGATCAAAGTTTACCACCTTTCACTGGAAAAGTCAAATATAGCTAAGTAAATTGGGACGGAGGGAGTAATACTTATCATTGCAAGTCATTTTTTACATTTTTTAATTATTCTCTGCAATTTTTTATACCCCCCTCTCCCACATTTCAGTTCTCTACTTATATGGGTTAACAACATACTCATCCATAAGAGTACACACATAATCTTCAAGGGCAAAAATAATTTTAGTAAACACCTACATGGCTTTATATTGGGGCGTAACAATTGTTTGTCATTGTCTACCGATGAACCAAGTATCCTTGCTAATGTGCACACTCATTCAACAAGCACATCTATAAGTTTACAAACTACCTAATTGTCTGTTTATATATGGTTATAACTTATAAGGGTCTATATTTGCTAATGTAAAATTTGAGCAATTTTCAGAAGTTCCCTATTTTCAAGTTCCCTATATTTACAAACTAGATAAGCACACAAGTTTCCTATTTTCAATTTTCGAGTTTCCCAATTACCGAAAAACTGAAAAATTTAAGCAAGTAAATGCACCAAGTACACTTTTGCACTACTGTATTCCTATTTTCGTTTATGGAGATGCATAAATTTACATTGGTGGTGGTTACATTCCAGATTCTTATGTACAGTGATTAAAATTGATTTCCTCATTGTATTCCTAATAAATCCAATCCAGAAAAAGATATAAAGAACTCCCATTGAAAAATATAATGGGGTTTTATCACAAATAAGCTCAAAAAGGAAAATAATATCACTTTTTTCAATTTTAAATTTACTTTTCAAAAATAACCTAGCTAAACTTTACTTTTCACAAATAGACTCCTCGATCCCTGCGCATGGAATCTGACAATCCATCTGCTCCGATCTATACTCCTACTAAATACATACGGCTCCCCTTCATCCTCTTTGGTAAACTAGTACAGATCCAATTTTGATTCAATTTTTATTTGCAAGTCAATTTTATAAAAAAACATTTATAAAATACAAAGAAAATGAAAATAATTTAAAAAAAACACTAAAAAAAAGAAAAGAGGGATAATATAAAATTCGAATTACAAAATTGCAAATTAAATATTAAAGATAAAAAAGGAATTTAAATATTTAAGAAAATCATAAAAAGGTATAAAAAATGTATAGCCAATTTCAAAAATACGGAATTCAAAAATAAAAATGAAAAAGGCTTAAAACAGATTACCATGTGGGAAATTGTAAAAGTACCATTTTTTGTAATGTAATTTTTCTAAAGAGTTCATATATTCCGTACTTTTATATAAAAAAGTTAAATACATAAAAACAATTTTTTTAATAAAATTAACAAAAATAAGGAAAGTATTTAAATTATAGACAAAGTGTGTGATATTTGATGATATTTATGAAAAGGATAATTCTTTTAAAGCGGGAATACATAAAAACAAAAAATCTATTTTTCTTAATAAATATATAATTTTGAAAAATTGAAAAAACTCACGTAAAATTAATAAAATAAAAAGAGACAATAAAATCTTAAAATGAAAAACAAAAAAATAAAACTTGTATAAATTAAGGACCTGGGAAAAAACTTGTGAAAAAAGAAAACAAAATGTAAAAAAAATTATAACCAATAAAATTAGAAGAAGGAAAAAATGTGATTTTGCAACTATTTAAAATGGTTACAAAATGTACAATTTATTAGTTTTGTTTCCAATTGTTTCTTTGTGTTTATTTTTGTTGATAACTTTTTATTTGTTTTTTTTTTATTGTTTCACCACGTTTCTGGTTGTTCCTAATATTAATAATTCCAAATTCATCATTTTAGATGTTCATATATATACATATTGCATAAAGAAAAAGTTACTACATACAAATGAAAACATAGATAAAAAATAAACAACATAAATAAAAAAGCTATAGTTCAAAAAATCAATAAAAAGCAACATTTTGCAACAAACAACAACAAGATACAACAAAAAGAAACATGGTGCAACAAAAAGCAACACACAAAATGCAACAAAAAGAAACAAAAAAAATATAAAAGTATAACAATAAATATATAATGAATGAGGTAAGGGTCATATTGGTTCTCGAAATAGCATAAAAATGGTCAAATAAGTCCTTACTGTCCGGGCGTCGACATTTGGGGAGGTGTCCGGTGGAAATTTTTGATGAAATTTTTTATGCATCTTATTTACCAAGTCTAGTTTACTCGTACCAAATTTCAGGAAGTAGCCAAGATAAATAATAACCTAAATATTAAATAACAAACAAAATTAACAATAAACAGCAATAAGCAACACATTGCAACAAAAAACAACAAGATACAACAAAAAGAAACACAATGAAACAACATGAAACAATAAACACATAAACATATATCACAACTGATATATATATTTCAATCAAGTATTTAATTTATTATATCTATCTATTATATTATTTGGCATTGTTTGATCACATTTCTTCTTCTTTGTATGCATCTTAAGTCTTACGCCGAATCCATCAAAATTGTCTCTCATTTCTTACCATTTTAGAGGATTACATATCTATAAATGATTTTTTGATTCCAAAGAAGTAGCAAAGATATATAAGTAGGAACCTAAATAAACAACTAAAATCAAAGTCAACTATAAACAACAATAAACAACAAAATGCAACAACAAGAAACACAATGCAACACAATGAAACAAATATAATGCAACAAAAAGCAACAAAAGATAACAGATAAAACTATCACAATAAATATATAATTCAATTTATTACATTTATCAAGTATGTTATCTGGCTTCGCTTCTTATCATATTTTCTTTTAATACATCTTAACACATAATTTCTCAGATTTGTCTCTCTTGTCTTCTTTTCCTCATTGATCCTCTTAATCTTATTATCACCTCATGTGCTTCTTTTCTTTTTATGCATCTGCAATGAAAATACAATTACTATAAAATGACAATAAAATAAGCAATTGTAGCATAGTAATTTTCTATAACAATTCACTTCAACACTTGGAAGTATATAATTATTAAAACTGTGAAAAGTAAGAATATGATTGCTATGATGAGACTATTAAAAATGATTAACTGTTAATTTCCCTTTTCCTGTAACAAATCTCCCACAAGTTTGCAATAAAAAATGAAGCTACTATAAAAAACAACCTATAAAATGAAGCTACAATAAAATATTATTGAACATGTAATGCTCTTAATCATACTGATCATCAATCCATAAGCAAGAAATAAGATGACCTGAACTATATATGTTCTTCCACCTGATCAAAAACATCTTTAACTGCTTTAGAATAAATTTAACACCTGGAAGTCCTTTAACATCTTTTAATGCATCAATTTTCTATAAATTTAGCATCTACTTTAGAATTAATTTAACATCTGGACCTATAAATTAAGTCTCACATTGAGTCTAACACCCTTCCCTTGAAAGCTATGTATTTCAGGAGCATCAAAGCCTCATGTACCCACTATTGAAAAAACAGATCCTAGAAAGACCAAATGGATATAGGTTCATCAAATGCATCACAAACATGTTGTTCTCCCTTTTTTGCTAAACATTGGCCTAATGATTGCAGATTCTGAAAGCATATAACCTCATGCAAGCTTCTTTAGAGTCACTGTTAACTACACTCAAACAATTCTGATACAAATATGTTAAATAGTCTCTCTCACCAAATGAATCTTCTAATGCTCTGTGATATACTAATTGTATGGTCATAAAATCATTTGGAATAAACTCAAATGTTTAGGATAGCAATATGACATTTAATTAAAAAGTTATATAAGAATAACAAGCCTATCTGCAATCAATTGACAGTTTGCAAACCGTTTGATAGAACAGATTTATGTTCGTTATATTGAAGAGGATAAATGGGAAAAAATGCAGCACAACAACTTGCAAGGAAATAAGCTCCAGAACAAAAATGAAAGGTAATGTTATGGGGGACAATTAAGCAAGCAATTTGATCGCTCCATTATCTCTAATTTCGAAAAAATCAAAATGTCTTGTGCATAGAAACAAAAAAAGGGCGAGAGCTGCCGAATGATTAATCGATTCGCCAACAATGTTTGAAATTCGCATATAAAATGCTAAGATATATAGATAACTCATAGAGAGCAAGCAAAACTGAAGAGCATACCGGTGAGTAGAATCAATTGAGGAAATCTATAGAGTAGCAAGAGAAAAAATGAGGTGCATCTCCAACTTGGAGGAGGAGGAGGAGGATGGCGTGGTGTGAGCAATCTAGATGAAGCTTGAAGGAATTCAGTCCAGAGGAAGCAAAGTCCTTGAGATTCATTCCATTGTCTTTCACCAAAGGTAGGACTGATTTGGTCTTCTCTCTCTTCCGAGCCTGGAGACCGCCAGCTCGATCGTCTGGTTGGCAGATGATGGTGGGACGAGGAATTTGAATAGAAATCCATCAGCGATGCTCAACCACGGCCATGAGATCCACTTCTCTGAGAAGAGAGCTGAAAGTCCATCCGATCTCGCGTAGGAAAAATCTCCCGTCGGCTTTGCCATATTTTTTCACCAGAAGGATGATCGGTAATCTCCCCTGCGCCTCTCCCAATATTACTCTACTTATGAAGACGTTAGCAGACATGGCTAAAAGTGAAATAAAAAACAAAAATTGATAACAGAAAAGGTTAAAAATGAAAAGGGAAAACACTTGGGCCATAAATGATATCTTGAGCATAAAAGGGCACCAGACGGGTAATTACCACAAATATAATTTGTTTCAAGTAATAAACACTAGCCCAATTCCTTTAAGAAAACACTAGCCCAAATACTTCAAGAAAACCCATGCATTGAAGAGCTGGCCCAAAAGAGATTAGTTGGAGAGCTAAATCATCAAACAATGCTTCAAGAAGCCTGTGAAGCTGTATCAGGAAACCAGTGAAGCAGGCAGAAGACGATGAACAGTAGTTGCAAACGTTAGATTCGAAGTCCCAAAACTCAAGAACAAAACCGTTATGGAATCTCGATAAGACGAGGTAGGAGAACACAAATCATAAAGAATCACGTGAATACAGCGAAATTGAACGAACAAGGTATGAACGATATGTGAATCTCCTTATGCTTGTATTTCAGAATTTCCATGCTGTATTTCCGTTATTCGGTGACTGAAAAATCCAACCGAAATCGAAAATCAGTTACTAGTTGGGCAGGTTTTCCGTTTTAGGTGGATAACTGACTGATCAAATGCTCACGATATGGTTACTCTGTCGGGCACAATAATATGTAACGGACCAAATTCAATCATCATTCCCGATATTGGACTCACCCCGGCCACTCCAAGTGACTTGATCTTCTCTTGAAGAGCAGAAGAGGTCACCTTACTTCAAATTGTTTGAAGTCCTCAATCAGTAAATCTGAATTTACCAAATTGCACTAATTTAGAGCCCGTTTGGTGATGAACTTAAATTGATGAAATTCAGGATGAATTGGTTGAATCTGTTCATCTGTTGAAGGGTGAAAAACTATGTTTAAAATATATTTTATTGATAGCATAAAGAAAAAATTGTATGAAAGTTTAGCTAAAATAGTCATTTTCAGCATTTACAACCAATTCAGCAAAACAACGTCAACCTTAGATATTTTGATTACTCCCTCCGTCCCGGAATTATCTTCATACTTTCCTTTTCGGTCCGTCCCAAATTTATCTCCTTTTTCCCTTTTTGGTAAAGAATATGTGGTAAACAACCATTCTTACACATTTCTCTCCCTTGCATAACTCTACACCACACAAATTCCATTATCTTAAAACCTGTGCCCGGTCAAAACCGGAGTTAAATATGGGACGGAGGGAGTATTACATAATTTAGTGAAAAATAAAAGTTATGTGTTTGTTAAAAAAGTTAGCCGATCAGAGTGATAAACCGAAAATGAGGATTACCAAACAAGCTTTATACTCTCTGCGTCCCTTATAACTTATCCAAGTTTGTGGTTGTACGCAAATAATAAAGTAAAGACTGTATTGTTTAGGTTTGTAAAGAAGAGAGATAATTAATAAGAACATCAGATTTATTACCTAAAAATGTAAGTGATGAAGTTTTTGGATCATCTAAAATGGAAAGTTGGCTAAGTTATAAGGGACGGAGGGAGTACCATATTAGTTTTAATTGCACGATTGATTATTTGTTTTGAGTCGATTTTTTGATTGCACTGAAGTTGTGTAAGTGTACATACTGTTGTGTTTTGATTCTTATTTCAAATTTATAATTTAATTGTGTATTTTTGTGTTTTAGTAAATAAGGAGTAGTAATTAGTATAAGCTTTGCTCGTTAATTTTGTATCTGATTGTTATTTGAAATCGTTTGATTTTAGTATGAAACTTGAATTTTAGTATACTCCCTCCGTCCCATTAAAATTGTCTCACCTTGCCTTTTTGGTCCGTCCCATCATACTAAATTTGGTAAAATTTTTGTGGTTCTAAATCATTCTTACTTTATTCTTACTTTATCAGTTCAATAACAACCACATAAACCCACTTTTTAGAAAAACTGCACTACCTCCTCATGTCCCAATGTTAGTGGGACAGAGGTAGTACATAATTATGAGTGTAAATTTTACTCGCCTTTTATGATTGGGACCCTTAGCTTTGCCTTGTCATGGGTCTAAAAATTGTTTGAAACAGCCTTCTTTTTATGCATTTGTATGTGCTTATACACATATATATGAATCACATATATTTGTATGAGGCTTAGCATAATTTTAATGTTTCTATCTACCTCCTTTTTTGGCTAGTATTTGACTTTATGTTTTATCACTTAGACATACTTAATTGCCTTTTTTTCCTTTTTAAGTTTTGTAGAGGGAAGTGAGATAGTGGAGGCTTTTTGCAAATCTGTGTTTGGGGGTTGTAAAACCACAAACATGAGTTGTACTTTGTCCTCTTCAATATCATATGTTGGCTCATTTTGCGGAAACATTCGATTCAAAAACCTAAACTATTTAGTCACTGAACCTTTTGCTAGAATTGGTAATTCCAACACTAAAGCTAAACTCCAAAGGTCTCATGATGATGTGATCTCTAGCCACCTTGTTCCCAGATCCTTGGGTGAATTGCCTGCATTACAGAAAGAATTGAAGGTATCAGTTCAGAAATCAGAGAAAATACGAACACTGCTGATTGATAACTATGACAGTTACACATACAATATATTTCAAGAACTGACTGTTGTCAATGGGTGTAAGAGCTCTCTCACTATCTCTCCCCTTCTGTCATTAGTTTTTCATCATCACTCTTAACTGTATGCTCGTAACTTAGAAGTAGGTTATAGATCATATTATCATACTAGCTTTTTGAATATTTGGCCACTAAACTTATGATAAGTGACTAAAATCACTGCATTTGAGATGTGCTGATTTAAAATAAGGGAGAACTATCAAATAAGCCCTCGAACTTTCATAAAAAGTGCAAATAAGCCCTTTTATAGGAGGCTCTGTCCGGCCGTCGCCATTTGGAGCGGTTTCCGGTGGAATTTTTTGGTGAATTTTTTTTAACATCTTCTTCATTAAGTCTTGTTTACTCATACCAATTTTAGATAAAAATTCAATCGGGAAGGCAGTCAAATGAATTTTTGAAGATAACTGCGCAGTTAGGCAGCGCAGTATATTTCAGAAAATCATTTGACTGCCTTCACGATTGAATTTTTAGCTGAAATTCGGTATGGGTAAACTAGACTTAATGAAGGAGATGCTCAAAAAATTTCATCAAAATCTTCCACCGGAAACCGCCCCAAAGGACGACAGCAGGACAAAACCTCCTATAAAAGGGCTTATTTGCACTTTTTATGAAAGTTCGAGGGCTTATTTGATAGTTCTCCCTTTAAAATAATGAATAGTAACATCTCCACCCTCACTACTTTTATATGACAATTTCATTTGGGGCTTGTTTGCTTCTGATTTGATGATGGGCTTAATAGGGACAATGACATAATTCAGTTAATTGTTCTGCCATTAAGTCGTGTTTACTTGCAACTTAATTGGAAACACGACTTAGTCATTCACCCAAAAAGTTATTAAATCATTATATCATGATATATTATTACTCCTTTCCACTAAGATGCATGCTAAGACGTCTATTCAGGCATTTCTCTTAAACCCACAAGCATTATGGAATAAATGTATTTTGCATGTGAACAAGTGACATTTTTCATTGATTAGGGGATCCCAAACAACCTTAAATTGGTTACTTTTCTCAATTAGCCAATTCAAACAGTTTATTGAGCACAAAAAAAACTTCTTTATACAAAGACCATTTGATCCGGACAAACATCTTGATACGACATACATTTTAATCTAGATAGAACATAATGGAAAAAGGCAAACTGCCCCTTGATTTAATTACACATCAAAACATTTTGGTGTGCTTACCTATTCCTTGTCACTGTATTAGTGCCTCCCCTGGTGGTTAAAAATGATGAATGGACGTGGAGAGAGTTTTATCATTACATGTATGAAGAAAATGCCATCGACAACATAGTTATATCACCTGGACCTGGATCTCCAACATGCCCCTCAGATATAGGTTTGATACGAACACCAAATCTTATACCTCTTTCTCTTATAATCACCAAAGTCGAAACAGTTCATTTATTCACTGCAATTAAAGACAAAATGTATTTAGCCCTCAACCATGAATTTGATTAAATGTAATTGTAAGTGTGACACGGCATTTTTTGTATGCCGTCAATTCCCAGTTCCCACTATTAGTAATGTGGTTGGTTGTTTCTATAGTTCTTACTTTGGTTTTTCATAAGCTGTGTATAATAGATGTCCTTGAAAAAAAATAGTATCATGACCTAATTATTTATTTTAGGACTTTGCCTGAGGCTGTTGCTTGAGTGTAGTGATATCCCTATTTTAGGAATCTGCCTTGGTCACCAGGTAACAGTTGTTACTATATGTTTATTTGAATGTTCATCAAGGTTACTATATTATCTCTGTGTTGGACAACTTTCCTGATTTGGATTCTTATTAATTTGTTAAATACTAAATAGGCTCTAGGATATGTGCATGGCGCTCGGGTTGTCCATGCACCTGAACCTGTCCATGGACGTTTGAGGTACATGAGCTGTAGCTGCTAAGATATGCAGTTTTGTAGTTATGATTTCCATGAAACCTTTGAACTGCATTTAACTTTTCTTTTCTTCTTGCAGTGATGTTGCACACAATGGTTCCAAGCTATTCCATAAGATCCCCTGTGGAATAAATTCTGGATTTAAGGTTGAGTGGATTTTTCTCGGATTAGAAATGCTATTCAAGAAGTCAAGTTATATTTTGTTTTTATTTTCGTGTTTATGCTATTTCCGGTTTCACAATTCTGAGTATATATTTCAGATTATAGGTTGCTATTGTTTGTCCGAGAAGTGCTCAATAGAAATCTTTAATGCAGGATCTTATCAATATTGAGTTGTAGTTAGTGCACAAGTAGATGTTTGAAGTCAATCTAACTTTTCTTCTTATTATTTTGATTAAAATAGGTGGTTCGATACCATTCTTTAGTTATAGAGCCTGAATCACTTCCAAGGGAACTAATTCCTATTGCTTGGACACCAACCTCTGAGACCACACCTTTCATAAGAAGCTCTCAATCTGATTTATATACTCATGCATGTGACGGGGTGAATGGGAGTAAAGTTTATGTTGGACCTTTATCCAAAGATTTTAGAAATGAAAGGTTATTTTTCTCTTGTGATACTGAAAAGATTCCAGCTGGACAAATCCTTATGGGCATCAAGCATTCCAGCAGGCCTCATTATGGACTGCAGGTTTTCTTTGTTAAATGGGTTTGTGCATGATGCTCTTTGGCTATGTTGTAGTTTTAATACTATTTTCTTTTGCCTATAGTTCCATCCAGAGAGCGTTGCAACGTGCTATGGAAAGCAGATTTTCAAGAATTTTGCCGAGATAACCAAGGGTTACTGGCTGAGGTTGAATTCCCCCATTAGTGAGAAAAATACCACTTATGCTGGTAATTTCTCTATAAAGTAATTTGTATCTATTTTGCTTATATTCTGATCTCAATTAATTTATATAATAATTAACACAGAATTCTGTAGACAGTTTTAGCTATAGTTGGGAGTTTTAATGAAAATGTCCTGATATAGTTGACTTTCATTGCATTTTTTCTTGTGCCCAGAAATTTTCTCATCCCCAATGTCTGATTTTCTTTTAATTTCACGTGACAAGAAAGCACAACTTTTGAACATCTTTATATTCTATTCACTAAATTGATGACAAGTATTTAAATTTCTAGGGGGTTAGTACTCAAATTGGTTCTCTTTGGAATGACCTATTTTTAACCCTGATCAGTAAACCTCACTTAGAATGCTTGCAGGCGCCTAAAGTGGACCAGATACTCAAAGATGCTTCAAGAGGAGGCAACATAGGGACTAATTTGGGTGAGAAGAAAAACACCTGTACGCAGAGCATCATAAATTCTTCACATCCCGGCTATAATGTAAAATATTTGAAGATGAGATGGAAAAAGCTTGATTACCTGGCCAGCCAAATTGGGGGATCTAAGAATATATTCTGTGAGCTATTTGGTGGTCAGAATACTGCAAACACATTTTGGCTGGATAGTTCCTCAACAGAGAAGGTATTTCTTCTCTTCCATCCAGCTTTTGCACTACTTTAATAACTGTTGAAGCCTCTAATTATTTGTGTAAATCTATATCAATCTATGATGTTGTTGTATTACTACTTACCCTGCACACAAAAATATACCTTGATTGATTTATTGCAATTACATTTGATTATTATTGGTGGTTTTTTGCTGATAATTATTATTGGTGGTTATGTGTTAAAGATGGATAATTTGCAACTTAACTAATGTGTATATTTCTGATAAATTACGCTTTTGGTTGTGGTAATCCCCTCTATTTATCACAGTGGCTCTTCCATCCATTTTTAAGATCTCTGCTTTGACACAATTTTTTACAATATCTTTTTTCCTATCTGACTTCCAAAATTTCCGTTTGATTAGTGGTTGGGAGTAAAATGGTGGTTGGATAGGATATTTACGGAGGATAGTAGAGTGAACCAAAAACTTAATTTTTTATCTAATAAAGAAGCAGGGCTTTATTTAGGTACGGAGAAAAGGGGAGGTAAGAACGTTAATAGAGGGAGTATTTACTATTTAGGTAGCAAAGGTCCTAAGCATTGATACATTTCCTGGAAACAACGCGCAATTTATAGGGGAATTGGAGTTTGTACCCCAGTTTTACCCAAATTTGTGTTTGCACCCATTTTAAATCCTTTATATTTGCAACCCAAGTTTGAGCATTTGCACCCCATTTTTTCATCCAAATTGGCTTTTGCACTACATTATTAACAATTTTTTTTAACCCTGAGGTGCAAATATGAATGCTTTCAAAGATGGGTCATTAACTCAAATTTGCATAAAAAAGTGGAGGGAAAACTTCAATTCGTAACTTAGTAAATCATTTCACATATTTATGTAGTTTCATGATAATAACTGCTTGGTGATTTCTAGGAAAGAGCAAGGTTTTCATTCATGGGCATAAAGGGTGGGTCCCTGTGGAAGCATGTTTCGTTTAGGTTATCAGGTGAACGGTAAGCTTTAGTAAAAGCCTGTTGCCTAAGTGCTATGGCATTAAGTGTCTTTTTATATTTTGGATTATTGTATGTATGTTAAGTAGTGATTCTTTGTGAGGCGTCTCATTTTCAGAGGCGAAGCTTATAAAGGAGGTGGCCAGTTAACTGTAGAGGATGCTAGTGGCTATCTTCAAACTTCATATCTAGAGGATGGATTTTTGGATTATTTGAATAAGGTATCCTGCGTCAATAAGATTCAACCTTTTCTTTATTATAAATGCTCGCTAGCATAATCATCTCCCTTTTCTTTCTTGCTGCCCGTGTTTCCACATTTGCACCCATGATAATCAATTATTGGTTTTGAGCATTTGCTGACATATGTATCAGGAGCTTGGGTCATTTTGCTATGATGAAAAAGATTATGAAGGATTGCCATTTGACTTCTATGGTGGCTATGTCGGTTATATAGGGTAAGTATTGAGGGTTGCTCATGCATTAGAGAATCCACATTATCTCCGTCGTCTTCCTTTTAATATCTTTGTATGCTTTGCATTTGCTTTGCCTGGGCTTGTTTCGGGACCTATTATTCTTATCTTGGAAATTTTTCTGTAAACTGAAAGACTCCTCAGTCCTCACTTCTTGGAAGAGTGAGAATTGAGAAGTTAGTCCATCTTATCATAGATTCATAGTTATGATATGCAAATGATGGCTTTTTTAGAGCATGGATTCTCATTGTTCGAGGTTGAGGATGTATGCAAATGCAGCTTTCAAGTTTCAAATAAGAAATACTCCCTCCGTCCCCTTTTAAATGTCCCATTTTACCATATTGGGATGTCCCTATTTAATTGTCCCATACCTTATTTGGTAAAGTTTGTGTGGCTCAAAATCATTCTTACTTTATTCTTACTTTATCTATTAATATCAACCACATAAACCTACTTTTCTTAAAACTCGTGCCACCCTCTTCCGGGACACTTAAAAGGGGACGGAGGGAGTAAATCGTAATATTGGCCACAATATGTGTAACTATTAGCCGTTCTTTGATTCAAAAGAAGGAAGGGAAGGAGAAATGGCGAGAAGAGGGAGGGGAAGAAAATAGAAGAGTTTACAAAGATCTCATGTTTTGTTCTATAGAAGAAAGGTGAATTGTTATTTTAGAAATAAATATATACAGACATTATGAGTGATATATTCTTGTTGTAAATGTATAACCGTACAAATGTAAAATAATTTTGATTTAAAAGGTAAAAACAGAAATCAAGAAATTTTTAACATTAAAAACCCCATATTAAGGAATGATATATGGTCTATTCCCCCCACTTTCCTCCTGTTGTCTCCAAAGGCCCCAACCAGGCAAGGGCTTAGGCTTCATAACTTGTTCATTTAGTCAGTTGACATTGAATAACACTTAATGCAGGTATGATCTTAAAGCTGAAGCTGGCAGAGACACTAATCGTCACAAATCAAGGGCCCCAGATGCTTGTTTTTTCTTTGCAGATAATGTTATAGTTATTGATCACCACCATGATAATATCTACATCGTATCGCTTTATGAAAGAAATACAAATACTTCCCCTTGGTTGGATGATATTGAGAAAAAGCTTCTCCTCTTAAAATCTTCAGACTCTAAGCCACATACTCCAAACACATCTCAAGGTTTAGAGGTCTATCTGGCAAAAAAATGTTTTTCTGCAGAGAAGTCTAGAGAGCAGTACATAAAAGATATTGAAAAGTGTCAAGATTATATCAGGGATGGAGAAAGTTATGAGTTGTGTCTTACAACTCAGTTGAGATTGAGTATAGGGGAAATTGATTCCCTAGGACTTTATGTTAGTCTTAGAGTTAAAAATCCAGCACCATATGCTGCATGGCTTAATTTTTCAAGGGAAAATGTATCAATATGTTGTTCGTCCCCCGAGAGGTTCATGCGATTGGACAGAGATGGGGTTCTGGAAGCAAAACCCATAAAAGGGACAATAGCTCGTGGTTCAACCCCAGAGGAAGATGAATTGCTTAAACTAAGACTACGACACAGGTAAATGATTTTGCTTTTATTACAGAGAGAAGAAAAATTAAGAAATAATACCTTATATATGACCAAAATGAGGATAAAGGTAAAAAATGTGACCTAGTTTCTTTCAGATTTTTTTACAATTTCTTTCAGTTATTATGTTATGTTCAATTCTTATGTTGTAATGACCATAAAAGTACTCATAATAAATTTAGTCACACTTTGTCCCTAAGTTTTAGTTTAGTACAGTAATATTTATGGGAAAACCTCAAAAAAATGTTAACACGTAGTATAATATTAGTTGCTACACCATCTCAAATTCTCCCCCCCTTTGAATACCGTATTCTCCATAATTTCAATCGTACTTTAAGATGATTCTTATTAAATTAAAGAAAGTAAGGAGTAATATTTTCAGCAATTTCACCCAAGAAAGTAGCTTCTTGTTAAATTAGTTAGTGTTTGGTAGAAGGCCTAGCTGGTGAGGCTGATAAGTAAAATGTATGTGTTAAAAAATGTGGTACCGAACGGGTACTCACCCCCCTGAAAGGGCTTGATAACTTCCGACTTTTAACTAACTAATATTTTGTAGTTTTGTTGTTTCCTTAATTCTTTACAAGTAAAAATACAGTAGAACTCATTGGCCACAAATTTCTGTCTATTTTTGGCAGTGAAAAGGATCAGGCCGAAAATTTGATGATTGTTGACCTCTTGAGGAATGACCTTGGGCGTGTATGTGAGCCTGGCTCAGTCCATGTCCCCCACCTTATGGAAATCGAATCATACGCAACGGTCCACACAATGGTTAGCACAATACGGGGACAGAAGCGGTCAGATGTCACTGCAATTGATTGTGTGAAAGCCGCATTCCCAGGTGGGTCAATGACCGGGGCACCAAAGCTGAGATCAACGGAAATTCTCGACTGTCTTGAGAGTTGTTCCAGGGGCATTTACTCTGGCTGCATCGGCTTCTTCTCATACAACCAAACATTTGATCTCAACATTGTCATTAGAACAGTTGTGATACACGACGGTGAAGCCTCCATTGGAGCAGGAGGGGCAATCACGGCCATGTCAAGTCCTGAAGATGAGTATGAAGAAATGGTTTTGAAAACTAAAGCTCCTAGAGATGCTGTTATTGAGCACATTTAGGGTGGATAACAACATGGGTGGGTCATTTCAACTTTAAGAGGAAGTTGTGTTACTGTGAGTATTTTCTCAGAGTGTACTGCGAGTATTATTCAGCGTCGACAGTAATGCTCTCAGAACATTAGGTTCTCAGAACATTTTATTCTATTTTCACACAGAAAGAGTGTAAAAGGTGCTGTGTAAAAGGCTGTGGTGTTGGGTGTTACAGATAACTTTAGGTTCTCAGAACATTTTATTCTATTTTCACACAGAAAGAGTGTAAAAGGCGCTGTGTTCGGTGGGTGGTGTATCGACACCTACAGACATACTGTCACGCAGATCCGGGTACGTCGTGCACAATTAGAGAGAAAATATACTAGGCAGGTTGTGACTAAACCTATGTTTAAAGACCCGAACCGGACCGGCCGGTTTGACCCAAAAACCGGTCACATGGTCATCTGTTTGGTCCGGTTGACCATCAACCCGCAAATCTGACTAAAACCGGAATTAACCAGTGACCTGCCCAAACTCGGGACGAACCTGGCCCGTCTCAAACCCAGATTGTGCAAAAAACCCGGATAATAAGTAACCAGCGGGAGTCAAACCGGTCCCTCATGCTTCCAATTTAGCCCCGCCAACCGACGTGCTAGACCAGCTACTTGGTGACTTTGATTGTTTAGCTTTCTTAATACTCCCTCTGTCCCGTATTTAAGCTTCCATTTTCCTTTTTTGGATGTCCCAAAGAAGTTCACACTTCCTTATTTGGCAAACGAATTTGCACCAAAATAGTGCAGTGTCAACCAGTGACACAATAATGTACTCTACGGTAACATTTACCCCTCAGTAAATTTATTTCTTTAATATGTGTTAAGTCAAACTAGGAACTTAAATACGGGACGGAGGGAATACATTATAAGCTTGGAGTATTTTTATAAGTCTTAATTAATTAGTTGAATAATTAATTAAATTATTATGAAAGTACTAATAAATACAAATCAATGATATTATTATACACCCCAATTATGTATATAATCTTCCAACGTTTTTTGTAATTGATATTATGTTCATATTTATTATTCGAAATCCCAATGGATTCTTAATTTTGTTAACATCAATATACTTAAATACAAAAGTTTTTTTTACATTGCTTATATTTTATTATCATTATTAAATTATGAAGGAATATACTTTTTCTAATAATCAATTTAATTAGTATATGTATTGTTGTTGACCGGGTTTACCGGTCGTTGACCGGGTTTACCGGTCATTGACCGGGTTTACCGGTCGTTGATCGGGTTGACCCGCCGGGTCCGGGTTGACCCATGACCCGGTCATCTGTTCGGGTCACTTTCTGATCCGGTTCTTACAACATAGGACTAAACTAGATCGATATATGCATGAGAACTAGAGAAGCTGTTAGAATAAAGAGATTGGATATGTTGGTTCTGTTGAAGCAATTAAAATTAAAATTTTATATGTTAAAATAAAATGAAATATATCAATTTTACCCATTTTCACTACAAACAGTTTAAGCAACCCGTGGAGACGGTGGAGTTAGGCTAGCCTGTAGTTAAAAATGTCTTTGAGCTAGGGGTGGGCACGGTTGATTAACCGCATTTCGATTAATCAATTTTTGGTTAACCGTGATTTCGGTTATTATATTTATAATAAAATTAGCTGTACCACAGCATTAGTTAACCGGATAACATTTAACCATAATATAGGGTTAACCGTTAATCGGTTAACCAAAAACTCATTTTAAAAAGTAAACTATTAGTGCCATCCTCTTGAAACGTAATCCAATGTCAAAATAGCGAACAAGTTGTAACAAAAATTTCTCGATCCAGGAAATGGCTAAAATTACACCGCCTCATAGGCTCATATAATGGAACTGCTACTGTTCAATTCTCTTCTCAAGAATAAATAAACACGCCACACTTATTTGTTACTTTTAAATATAAAATAAAATAAGAAAGAATGGCAAAAATAGGACTAGGAACTTTTGACTAGACAAAAATTAGTCCACTTTAATTAAGGACAAAAATAGGACCGATCTTGCATCTCCTTCCTTCTTCGGCAGCACACATATCCGCACATCTGGAACGTATCTGCGCATACTCCTTCTCCAACGCATCCCATCTCATCTCCATCGAATATCATGTCTATTGCATTTATCTCCATCACATCTCCTCTTTTCTCCAACGCCCATTTCAGATTGCCGTCTCCGTCGCCGAACAACTGCGCCGTCTCCATCGCTGAGCAACTGCGTCATCTCCGTCGCTGAGCAACTGTGCCTGTCATCACAGAGCAAGTGCCTGTTGCAAGGTCCGGAGCATCCCGATAGCCGACCATCAGAGAGGTGGTAGGGAAGGGAGCTGAGGAAGGGGAGGGGGGGCTGGTGAAGGGAAGGGGCCTGGGGCAAAGGAAGGAGCTGGTACAGGGAGGGGGCTGGGGGCAAGGGAGGGGGTTGGGGCAGGGAGGAGGCTAGCTGTCACCGGGTTTGGGCAGTGGTCGGGGGCGGTGGTGGTCAGGGATGGTGGTGGTCGGGGGTGGGGGTGGTCGGGGATAGTGGTGGTTGGGGCAACTCAGCTTCCATAATCATTTCTGCTGCGAAAATCAGCGATTGCAACTCAGCCTCCTCGCTGGACGCCGCTTGAAGTCTGAAGGACGTAGCCCATACCAGTTCTCCCATCCGATTCCGAAGAATAGCTCCTCCCGAAGCACAACCAGGTTTGAACGAAGCATCTACGTTCAATTTGTAGTTTTGTTTAGGTCTTTTCCACTTGACAACCTGAATAATAGGGTAATTAAACTTAAACCTTAACAGAATAAAGTTTTCAGTGTACAAAAAATCTTCCACCCTTCTGTGTTTTATCTTTGTTAAAGTTGAAGCCCATTTCTGAGTATAGAACTTGATTTGTAGAATAATGTAATCTGGACTTGGATTGGTCGGATTGATCATGGTTGGATTGGTAACAATCGGATTGGTCACGGTCGGATTGGTCACGATTAGGTTGGTCACTGGTCGAATTGGTCATTGGTCGAATTGTTCATTGGTGCATTTGGTAATTTTTAAGTGGTAGAGAGGTTTAGTCTCATGTTTGAAACTTTTTAAAATTAGTCATATTTTTGTCAATGAGATTTGTTTTAACGGAGTGTTGTGCAAATATATAAAATTTAATACCCCGTAGGTTATTTTACAACTGGTGTATTATTCTATTTAGAATATACGGAGTACGTATTAATTAGTCAGATGATGAAGTATTTATCTATCGATTTCATTTTTCATTTGAGCTTCTCTTCACAACCAAGAATGTGTTAGCTAATTTGATTCAGTATGTATGTATCAATTCTTTTTCATTCAAGCTTCTTCCTTTCACAATCTAAGAATTCTTAACTTTGAAAGTAATAACTTAATTTTGGATTGTTGGTTAACCGGAGTATTTTATTTCAAAACCATAACCGTACCGTATATCATTATTTCTTTCGGTTGGTTAACCGTACCGCGAGTTTTTAAAAACACTGTATGGTTAACTGACAAAAACACCGGTTTTACAGTTTTTTATACGGTTAATCGGTTATGGTTTTTTGTGCCCACTCCTACTTTGGGCAGAAAATGAATGAAGATGGAGATGACCATATTCAAGGTTGTGTTGACATTAGCGAACATGGATACACAATTATTTTTTATTTTGTTAAGGAAGGAACTTGATATATCTAGAGCTCCAAAGTTTCAAATATTGTTTGTTGCCCATTACCGGATGGTATCACCGTGGCCCACTCAAATAACAGGTCAAATGTTTGAGTCTCTTCCTAATAAAAAATATCGGCACTCAACGTAGAACAAATACTATAATAGTGTTTATTCGTTTCAAATTGAATCCAATTGCTTGATTCCTTCAATATAGGATCAAAGTTGAATGGTTCTATTTTTTGTTGAAAAAAGCCAAAAAGGTTTAAAACTAAGACCAATATCGATTTGCCGAGCTAAAATTTTGGTTCCTCCCTACCTCTGGAACCAAGACCGACTGGTGTAGATTGGCGGTGAACCGAAATTGGTCAGGGTCAACTCCTACTTTAGACCACTTCATTCTAAAGCGTTGTCATCCCTTTCTTGATCAAGTTATTAGAATTTTATTTTACTATCTCCGATTTTTTAATTGAAACACTTTGGCATTCCTGTTTGACAACACACAATTTTGATAATTGATATACTTCATTTGTCTCGTAAATTTGGTCAAAATTAATTTGCATGTGAAATAATAAAGTAAAATTTGGTTTTTGAGAATTCTAGTGTGTGAGAATGTGCACACTAGTATACGCCATCCTTCTTTCAACTAAAGAATAGTTTATCACATGATCCTACTATTAACTAAAAAATATATTATCACAAACAATTAATAACCTTCATCACATCCAAACATGAGTAGTTGTACACAAAATAGACATTTACACAAACTAATTAATGTCTATTTGCAGAACTAGTTGTCCATGTGAAGGATTCATAGTTTCTTAGATAAATTTTTTTCACACGGACACAAGTTTTATAATCTAATTTTCCAAACAATGATTGGGTAATGATTCATCTAAACCCATTGCATACATAAATGTAAACCAATGTGTACTATTGTCATTTTCTATTAGAGATACATTGTACGTACCTCCAATTCTTGTATGGAGTATGAAAATTGTTAGTCATATGAGTGATATGGGGGTCTTTGGTAATTTAACTCGAGTACATTATCAGCCTCCTATATCAATATAATTATATGTAAATACTTGAGTGTACGATTGTATAAATTAATTGAACCCAATGATATAAATTTGTTACACTGAGCATAAGGGTAGGCAAAATACCTAAAAAGCATGATATTGGATTAAATTGTAACAATATCAAAATCATTAACATGTTTCAAAATATGATGGTTTTCAATACCCAAACATGGCGACACTAGTATACACTTGTAATATACCGACTATATCAAACCGGATAAAATATGATAATGTGTTTCGCTTATGACCCCGTACATGTGCCTTTTGGGACATACGGTTCAAAAAACTTCTCTCACTGCACACATATACTGTTAGGTATTGGCCCAACTATTTCCGTAAGCCCACTTACTCTTTGGTTTTACTCGGCCCAGGGTTGGACTTACCGATTCTTTCTTCTCCTTGTTCGCTCTGCGCATATCCTCCCTTGCTCTTCTTTCCTTGTTGAAGCCGCTGCATATCTTTGATAAGGTAAGTTACCTTACCTGTGTTTTTTGACCTTGGCTTATAAATAATTCTCCTTTCTCCGTTTTGGAGTGCAGCCGAAACCTAATCAGTCTGAGCTTTTCTTTTGGGTTCACCGGAGGAGTGTCGCCGGAAATAGCCTGCTGGCTGATGCCCCTCTCCCCCTTTGTGATCATAGTGGTGTTATTCATCCTTTGTGGATGAAATTAGAGACCTGAGCTGGAAGATTCAGAACTTACATATACTGTATTCTATTCTTGGTTTTATTATCAATACTACTTATACTATATGAGTCTATCTATTTTTAAAGATTCTTTATGGGTTTAAGATTAAATGCTTGGGGTTACCGAAGAAGGGGTGATCCGCCTAAAATATGGGCATGTTATATGCTAGTAGTACGCAATTTACTCGGTCGATCCAAATAAAACCCGACCCAAATCTGGGACGATAAATCTGCTAGCCTGGATTAGAGTTGCATTGTGCCTTTTAAACCCCCTACTATTAGGCGAGTTTTGAACCCGGACTACTTTCATACACATGTAGGTACAAAACCAAACCCGCTAATAGATAATAATGTAGGGATACTCTTGTAATTACATATTCTTGGATTATTATACATACACATATACGCCTACCGCTAGGGTAAGCCATTCCCTCATAATTCTCATATGGTATCAGCGAATAAGGTTTTACGATCCTAACCCTAAATGTCTTCTCCATGAACACTACGTCGACCGCACTTTCTTCCTCGTGCGTTGTAGGCAGTGTTCAGCCGCATGATATCCCAGAAGCTTCATCCCAGGCGCCCACTTTCCCTCCGACGGAGCAGCCCTACGCCAGTCGCCCCGTGCCATTGTTGGGTGTGTCTCGGAAAAACGAAGAAATATTAATTAAATAAAATTAATTAATAAATAAAATAGCTAAAAGAAAACAGAAAATAGATGGAACAGAGTTTAGCCAGAGCTCGTGCTACGCACGATGTCCTTAAAACGTATTTGTCGCCTCCCACGGTGCTAGGAGCATTGCAACGACGGTTTCCAAGGATACAGTGGCTAACGAACTAACGTTTGAGCACACAAACGAGAGTTCTGGCGAACTGGAACACAATATGAACACTTAGGAATTTTCTGAGTAGCTGGAAGTGTTTTAGAGCTCAAAAATACGTGAGGAATGTATTGTGTGTTGTGTTGTTGCAAACCACCTGCCAGCCATTTATACGAGGATTTGTGGTGTGTTAATCGAACTTTAATGGACCTGAACGTTGCACATAAATGTCTAGCACGTTGGACATTAATATGTTGAAAAACTGTCCATTTAAAGATGCATTAAAAGACAAGAACGTTGGGCATTAACTTTCGTCACGGCTTAGGTATTCTGATCCGGAAGGCAACAGAAGAGCCCTGAGGTCTTCTGTCCGGAGGCCAGAATACGATTTAACAAAAGTTAAATCGTATCTTTGAATGATAGATTTTTTGGACGGCATTCGTGTCCGCAGGTCGCCCGCGGACACGAACCGCGGTTTTTCTTCTCCGTTTCGGGATTTGATCGGCACCCCCTGCGCGTAAGAGAGAGCTTTTACCTTTAGGAATCTTAACTCCTTAAAAGAGGCTTCCATTTATAAGGGGGTGAAAATCCCTTGAATTTTCCGGTGTGGTATAAAACACACTAGAAACCCATATTTTCCCCAATTTTTCCATTTCAACGAGTGAACTTCGAGAATCAATTTATTATTCACCCGTTATCCGTTTTGAGCGTATCATATATCGAATTGTAGCCCTTAACAAGGACAATCCGAAACCACTTTGTCCCGACCCAAATCAAAAGTGGACCCCACTCAAATAATTGCCCCAAAATGATCATTTAATGCAATTTTTAACACATTTTTCCAACAGCCATTGTTCATGCGGGAGAAGACCGCGATTCCCTCCTCGATGATTTACAGTTCGAACAGCCCACATGTGTCATCTTATTCCCTCTTTCAGATGCCTGAACCGTTCACTTGGAAGCCTACAATTGCTGTATCAGCGCCTCATCCTCTTCCACACACCAGCAGTTCGTCCCAGACTTCAGGACTGCCGACTGACCTTCACCAGGCAGTTTGAAATTGGCTCGTCTTCGCAGCATCCTTCTCCTTCGGGCGCTGGTAATTCTCCTTCCTATCTCTCTACTATGGCGCCCCAGTTGACATTCTCCACCCTGAATGTCACAAATATAGTTACTACTCGGTTGGCATCCGTTGAAGATTATTTACCGTGAAAAACACAATTTGAATCATTTTTGGTATCTCACAATTTGTTGGGTGTGTTGGATGGTTCTGTTCCTATTCCTACGCCATATATTTTGGATGTTTTTCGTAGGGAGGTTATTAACAATGATTATCAACATTGGTTGAAAATAGACCAAACGATCCGTTCTTGGCTTTTCGCCACTCTTTCCCGCGATATTTTGATTGATGTGCATGAGCTTAAATTCTCTTTTCAAATTTGGGACCGTCTCCGCAGTAAATTTATGTCCGCTAGCATTGCTCGATCCATGGAAATTAAGCGCCTACTTTCTCACATGAAGAAAAAGGCAAATCAGACAATGGATCAGTATCTTCGGGAGATTAAAGTTGTTGCCGATTCCCTGGCCTTAATTAACTCTCCGGTCACTGATAAGGACCTTATTGAGTAGGCTCTTCTAGGCCTTGATCCGGAGTTTGAGTCTATACTCGGTGGGTTAGCTTACATGCCCCCAACTTTACCTTTGATAAGCTGGGTCCTATCCTTACTCTCCAAGAACACCGGCTGCAATACATGTGTGGCACAGGTGAATCTGTGACGCAGCATCAGACCTTTGCTGCCTCTGGACCAGCTTCTTCAGCCTACCAGTCCCGCCCGCAGCAACAATATTCTGGCTGAGGGGGTGCACCACCGCGAGGAGGACGCGGAGGTCGCGACCAGCACGACCATCTGGGTCACCGGGGACGTGGCAGAAGGTATGGCTACCCCGGTACCCCTGGTCAGCAACCTTTCCCACGAGGCTTTGATTTTCATTATGCGGGACCTCATGCATACTTTACTCCGGGAGCTTCCAGTGCAAGTATGGGTAATGTCAGTCAGGTAAATTCTTGTTTGTCTCCATATTATACTTGTGGTACTCATACTAACAGTGCATGTTTTCCATCAGTTGATCATACTTATGCTCCCCCCGCCCCCCGTTGTTTGTCAATTATGTTTCACTCCTGGTCATTCAACAATAACTTGTTTCAAATTCACCTCGGGTTCTACTCCGGCCCTAGCTGCTTTACCATCCGGTGAGACCAATGAAGCGACATGGTATCCAGATTCTGGTGCCTCCGCTCACATGACGCCAAATGAAGGTATTTTACATTCTAAATCCACTGTTACTAGCCCCACTAATGTGCAGGTCGCTAATGGTACTAATTTATCTCTGTCTACTATTGGTAATGTTCATTTACCTTCATTCAGCCGCCCACTTATTTTGAAATCAGTGTATCACGTTCCTCACTTAAAATTTAATTTACTATCTATTCAGAAGCTGTGTGAAGATAATGATTGCACTGTTATTTTTAACAAATCTTTTTTTCTGTAAAGGACAATCAAACGGGGGCAACACTACTCCACGCTTCCAATAAGGACCGGACTCCCTTCACAGTCTCCACTCCATCCTTGGCTCTTTTTACTTCCACTGTCCCCGGTCCGGTATGGCACAAGCGCTTAGGTCATTGTGGTGATAGCATATTGTCTACTCTTCAGCACACACACTCTATTTTTTCTACTCGTAATTTTCATCATTTATGTACTTCATGTCGACTGGGAAAATCCCATCGCTTACCATTCCAAGATGTGTTACATACATCTACTGCTCCTTTACAATTAATTCATTCAGATGTTTAGCAGTCTCCTTTATTGTCTCACCTTGGTTATAAATATTATGTTTGTTTTATTGATGATTTTTTCAAGATTTACTTGGGTATATCCCATACATAGGAAGTCTGAGATTTTTACTCATTTTTGCAACTTTCAGAAACTAACAGAAAATCTTTTAGGTTGTAAAATTAAATGTTTTCAAAGTGATGGTGGGGTGAAATTAATAATCACCAATTTAATAATCATTTTCTGGTATTTTGTTTCAAAAATCCTGCCCAGACACTCCTGCTCAGAATGGCGTGGCTGAACGCAAACACCATCATCTTTTAGAATTAATACGTACTATGCTTATTGATGCACATCTACCCCCGTATTTTTGGGTTGATGCGCTTTATAATGCTACTTACATTATTAATCGTCTTCCCAAGCCAACTCTGCAGGGTCTCAGTCCGTATCAGAATTTTTTTCAAAAATCTCCTAACTATTCTTTTTTACGTGTATTAGGTTGTGCATGTTTTCCTAATAAACTTTCCACCTCGGGTAATAAGCTATCTGACGTGCACTTTGTCACGGTACGTCAAAATAAATTCAATACTACCACTTATACGTAGTATAGGTGAAATAGAGTTCGTATCCACAGGGAAAGGAATAATTCTCTTTTTATGAAACTAGTAAATAAAAGGGGGTTGGGGGGTTGGTGTTGAATGATTTAATTTAATTAAAAACTAAGATGAACAACCTATATGTGTTTTATTTCAAAGATAAAAGAACTTGTTATTGCTACTTTCCACTTGTTGATATATTTTAGTCGATCATTGTTATATCTATAACTTATTCCCTCTCAAATACTCAATCGAGGAGTATATCCAATTCATCGAGGGTAGTTATTAACAACGACCGTTCATTAATAACCCTTACTATTAGTCAAGTATAGAACACCGCCATATACCGACTTGATAGTAGCATTTAATCTCTTAACTCCTTGATGAAATCAATTGAGATTGATAACCTCAACACAACGGTTTTGGTTTAACCAACAAAATTAATCCCTCTTAAGTTTATCAACCACGACCGTGCATTAATAAACCGAAGTTACTTACTTGTGAAACCATCAACAATTAACCATCGGTTCGTCGATCGTTTCTAGTAATAATTAATATATGAAACAAAACTAGTTGATCTTTTAAGTAATGTTCAAAATATTAATATGAAATATGAATAGGAATTAATTAATATTCAAGGAAGAATATTATTAAAGGAGATGAATCCTACTATAATTAATATCAAGATGTTAACTAATTGTCATCTTAGCAACACTCCCCAATATTAATATAGAGGAAGAAAATACTACTCTAACTAATGTCAAGATGTTAACTAATCGTTATCTTAGCAACATTCCCCAACATTAATATAGAGATAGTATTAAGGAAAGAACTAATAATTAATATTCAAGGGAAAAGTTAAGAAAATAACTCACAATTTTAATAATCAACAAGCTTTAAGAGCAACACCAAGAATTGGAAGTTTAGCTCCTCATTTGGAGACTAAACATAGCTAGAAAAATATAAAGAAATGTTATTCTAAACTGAGCTTAAGAGTATGGAAGAAGGAATGATTATTTGTGAAGGAAAAGTGTGCTATTTATAGGTGTTTTTCAACACCTTGGCCCGGGTACCCGATCGGGTCAAGTGCCCACCCGACCGGGTCCGGTCAAAATTAGATATCCTCCACGTTCTGGTGATCTTCGGCACGTTAAAATGTCCCGGGTCAAGTCAGACCCGACCGGGTGAAATACTTCACCCGACCGGGTGATTGTAGTTTCCAGCCACCTTCGGTTTTCAATGTCTCACCCGACCGGGTGCAATACCCCACCCGACAGGGTGATTGTCCTGGGCAGCCAATAATCATTTTTCTTCACTTCAAAGTCTTCCTTTCCAACACCATAAATCCTAACTCTACTTTACAACTTACAAATGAGAACTAAAATACAATTACAACTAAAATCACACAAATGTTTACAAACTAAAGAAAATGGTAAACAATCCACACAAATCAAACATAAAAATATACATTTATGCACTACTAATTAGTGCATATCAAATACCCCCACACTTAAACCTTTACTCGTCTCGAGTAAATCAAATCCAGTCCACGAAGTCCTTAAAATGACAAGAGTATCAACACACAAATCCAAGAGTGTTTTTAGAAACACATAAAGTATATCCCCAAAAATATAACAGTAAAAAGGGGTCTTCAACTTCATATTTCTTATCAACCTCAACTTTTTTTTGCGCGTTACCCTTAGGATCCAGCAGAAATAAAAGAAAATACTTTCTCTCATTCTCTCATTTTGCCTAGGTGCCCTTTCGGGTTTTCATCCCAGCTTCCCACATTTGTCTATTTTAATCCTCACAGCTTACTCTTATTTTTGCTTAAGTTGCCTTTTCAGGTTTTCAACTGAAAAAGCTTTTATTAATTTTTTTTAACAAGAATAAAGAGTATGAATGTGAGTATTCCATAAAACTCTCTCCCACGCTAACCAAAGCACTGTCCCTAGTGCTTGTGTCCGAGATGTCCAATAGAATGAATCTCTTTGCCCTTTTTGTGTCATTTATTTTCTTTTTGGTTGAGCATAAATTCTGACTTGGTGTAGGTGGAGTTAGGGTATTCAGATTTCTTTTGGGGATGGATTTGGGTGGAATTTTTGGGTAGAAAATGGAAGGGGGTGTTGTGGAGAAGAAGAAAATGTGTTTTAAGTGATGGAGTTGGTGGAGAAATAGGGGGAATTGAAGGTTTGAGGTGCAAAAATGGAGGTTTTGAGAGGTGATTCGTATGGGGAAGAAAGAGGATTGCACTACCCTTTTGCTGTCAAAACCCGATGACCCAGCCGGGTGGGATATGTGACCCGGTTGGGTGTTCTTTATTTTAAACAAAAATTGACTTTTACCCGGACATGTTTTTGTTCCAGAGGGTTCAGAGGCAAAACGCCCGGCCGGGTGGTGTAGCAGACCCGGTCGGGTGTTTTGATTTTTTTTCTCTTCCACAACTGCCTCACCCGGGTGATTGGGCCGGGTGATGTGTTTTATGAATGGACCCGACCGGGTTGTGTTTCATACCTGACCGGGTTCAATCCCCAGGTCTCTTTTTTTTGAAATGTGCAAAAAATAAAATAAAGCAAGTAAACGTACCTTGCATGGGTTGCCTCCCAAGAAGCGCCTCATTTAACGTCGCGGCACGACACTATCATTGTGTTCAGTCATTCAAACTTGTATCATGATAGTTTATCTTTTTCACACTTTCACTCGTAGGACTTCCATAAGAGTCCTCAATTTCCCGACTCTTCACTTTGGAAATCCCTCCATGATCAAATATCCAGATTTTCATTGATTCATGTGGTAGGAGTGAGGGAAAGAAATTATTATTTAACATGGTCAATGGAAAATGTTTGGATCCTTCAATTTTGCTGAGAATTTCAAAGATGTCACTCTCCTTTTCAATTTTATGAGTTTCCCTCAAAGTTTTTAGAACTGATGGGGGTACCTCAAAGGATGATAAGGATAGATATTTGACCATGAAACTCGGTTCATCCTCTTCTTTGATCAGATGGAGCTCCGTGTCTTTTTCTTCTTCCACTTCTTCTGGATTCTGGATCTCTTTTTGCATTTCCTTTTCATTTGTCAATGTGACTGCAAAAGTTTGCTGTTTAGGATCACATTCTATTTGAGAAGGAAGTTTTTCCGAATCCCTTGCTTCAAGCCTACTCACGGCTCCGGCTATTTGACTCATTTGAGTTTCCGAGTTTAAAATGCTAGACGTGGTCTCATTTTGGAATTGCACCATGCTGTTTTGCATGGTGGTCATGTTGGTAGCAATAGCCCGGACCATATCCTCCGTAGGCATGTTAGAGTTGGAGAACGGATCATACCTCATGTGAGGTACATCCCTTTCATAACCAACATCATCAATTTGTTCAAGGTATTCATCTTGGAGCTTTGGGCAGAAATCCGTAGGATGCCTGTGAGACATGCAAATGTTGCATGTCTTGGCATCTTGAGCTTTTGAGCTTAAGGTAAATTCCTTTATTAGAGAAGTCAAGAAGGAAATTTGACTCTCTAAGGATAAAGTGTTGGTATCCATATACTCATAACTCATGTAAGCTCAGAAAATAGAAGAGTAAGTTTATATATATATATATATATATATATATATATATATATATATATATATATATATATATATATATATATATATTTGTTTTTGATTTTTATGAGATAAAATAAAAAGAAAAATAATTGCCTTTCTCCGGCAACGGCGCCAAATTTGACGTACACTTTGTCACGGTGCGTCAAAATAAATTCAATACTACCACTTATACGTAGTATAGGTGAAGTAGAGTTCGTATCCACAGGGAAATGAATAATTCTCTTTTTATGAAACTAGTAAATAAGGGGGGGGGGGGGGGGGGTTGGTGTTGAATGATTTAATTTTATTAAAAACTAAGATGAACAACCTATATGTGTTTTAATTCAAAGATAAAAGAACTTGACATTGCTACTTTCCACTTGTTGATATATTTTAGTCGATCATTGTTATATCTATAACTTATTCCCTCTCGAATACTCAATCGAGGAGTACGTCCAATTCATCGAGGGTAGTTATTAACAACGACTGTTCATTAATAACCCTTACTATTAGTCAAATATAGAACACCGTCATATACCGACTTGATAGTAGCATTTAATCTCTTAACTCCTTGATGAAATCAATTGAGATTGATAACCTCAACACAACGGTTTTGGTTTAACCAACAAAATTAATCCCTCTTAAGTTTATCAACCACGACCGTGCATTAATAAACCGAAGTTACTTACTTGTGAAACCATCAACGATTAACCATCGGTTCGTCGATCGTTTCTAGTAATAATTAATGTATGAAACAAAACTAGTTGATTCTTTAAGTAATGTTCAAAATATTAATATGAAATATGAATAGGAATTAATTAATATTCAAGGAAGAATATTATTAAAGAAGATGAATCCTACTATAATTAATATCAAGATGTTAACTAATTGTCATCTTAGCAACACTCCCCAATATTAATATAGAGGAAGAAAATACTACTCTTACTAATGTCAAGATGTTAACTAATTGTCATCTTAGCAACACTCCCCAACATTAATATAGAGATAGTATTAAGGAAAGAACTAATAATTAATATACAAGGGAAGAAGTTAAGAAAATAACTCACAACTTTAATAATCAACAAGCTTCAAGAGCAACACCAAGAATTGGAAGTTTAGCTACTCATTTGGAGACTAAACATAGCTAGAAAAATATAAAGAAATGCTATTCTAAACTGAGCTTAAGAGTATGAAAGAAGAGATGATTATTTGTGAAGGAAAAGTGTGCTATTTAGAGGTGTTTTTCAACACCTTGGGCCGGGTACCCGACCGGGTCAAGTGCCCACCCGACCGGGTCCGGTCAAAATCAGACATCCTCCACGTTCTGGTGATCTTCGGCACGTTAAAATGTCCCGGGTCAAGTCAGACCCGACCGGGTGAAATACTTCACCCGACCGGGTGATTGTAGTTTCTAGCCACCTTCGCTTTTCAATGTCTCACCCGACCGGGTGCAATACCCCACCTGACCGGATGATTGTCCTGGGCAGCCAATAATCATTTTTCTTCACTTCAAAGTCTTCCTTTCCAACACCATAAATCCTAACTCTACTTTACAACTTACAAATGAGAACTAAAATACAATTACAACTAAAATCACACAAATGTTTACAAACTAAAGAAAATGGTAAACAATCCACACAAATCAAACATAAAAATATACATTTATGCACTACTAATTAGTGCATATCACTATCACCACAATCTACTCCTTGTATTTTTATTGGCTATGCACCAGGGTACAAGGGTTATCGCTGTCTTGATCCTACCACTGATCATGTCTACATTAGTCGCGATATCATTTTTCATGAGACTATTTTTTCCTATCCTACACTTTCCGCTAGTCGTTCCACATCTCCACATTCTTCACCTCAACCTTTTATTTCCTTTCCATCGTATCCTACTACTGTAGCACAACCTCCCATCTCTTCTTCCACATCCATTCCGCCTCTTCTACCTTCCACCGCACACCTTACTTCCCCAACCAGTCCATCACCCTCAGCTCCGTCCACTCCCTCATCCCCTAACCTCTCGTCCACTGCAACACCTACCCCAGTATCCAGTCCACACCATACCTCCCCTTCCTCTCCTACTTCAAACAACATATCTAGTCCAGACCATACATCCCCTTCCTCTCCTACTTCGGCCAACATATCCAGTTTGCCATCAAGTCCTTCTTCTAATCCCGAAGTCAGTTCCCAGCCCCCGAAACACACATCCCCGTCCTCCATCCGTCCACAATGTTCACCCTATGAGAACCCGAGCTAAAGACGGCATATATAAACCCAAAACCATTTTATCTCTTACCTCTGTGGAATTGCCCCCCAACCCGACTTGTTTTTTTCTCAAGCTAATAAAAGCTTAAAATGGCGGGCGGATATGGCTGAAGAATTTAATGCACTCATTGCTAATAAGACTTGTGATTTCGTACCTAGTGATTGCACAAAAATGTGGTTGGATGTAAATGGGTTTATAAAACAAAATACAATTCTGATGGGTCTATAGAGTGTCACAAAGCTCGCTTAGTGGCTCAAGGTTTTAATCAGCAGGCAGGGGTAGATTTTTATGAAATTTTTAGTCCTGTTATCAAATCTACTACCGTGCGTCTTTTACTTTCACTTGCCACATCTTTTGGTTGGGGGGTACGTCAATTAGATGTTAAAAATGCATTTTTGCATGGTTACTTAATTGAGGAGGTTTACATGCGTCAGCCTCCGGGCTTTATCCATCCCTCATTCCCTCACCACATTTGTTGTCTTCGTAAGGCATTGTATGGGCTCAAACAGGCACCTCGTTCCTGGTTTCATCGTTTCAGTGGATTTCTTCTTAGTCATGGTTTCTTGCAGAGTCGGTCTGATTCCTCCATGTTTATTTATCGTCGTGGTTCTCATCGTATATATATTCTCCTGTATGTTGATGATATTCTCATTACAGGTAGTTCTTCTTCTCTTGTTCAGTCTATTATTTGGTTACTCTCTCAGACTTTCGCCATGAAAGATCTGGGAGATATTCACTTCTTTTTAGGAATTCAGATCGTCCGTACACTTACAGGTACTTTTCTCTCACATCAAAAGTATATTCCCGATCTATTGCGGCGTTTTCATCTTCATACAGTCACTCCAGTCCGCACTCCTCATCGCAATATTGTTGGTGCCTTACGCTACTTAATTATTACTAGACCAGATATTACCTATGCTGTTCACCTGGTCTCTCAGTTTATGCATGCTCCTCGCACTGCTCACCTTTCTGCTGTGAAGCGTATTTACAGATATTTGCAGGGTACCATTACTGAAGGTTTATGGTTGCGCAAAGGCGGCAAAGGTGGTGATCCATCTCTTGTTATTGCTTATTCTGATGCAGACTGGGCCGAATGTCTTGATAGTTGTCGCTCCACCACCGGCTATGCTATTTTTCTGGGACACAATTTAATTTATCGGCGATCCAAAAAGCAACCTACTGTCTCCAAGTCATCCATTGAGGCTGAATATAGAGCTGTGGCTTATACTGTTCAGGATACTTTTTTTATTCGTTCATTACTTGCGGACATGGGCTTTTTCATCTCATAACTGGTTCAGCTCTATTGTGATAATGTTTCAGCATCCTACCTTGCAGTTAATCCTATTCAGCATGATCGGAGCAAGCACATAAAGATTGACTATCATTTTGTTCGAGAACCTGTGGCTCATGGTGATTTAGTTGTGAAATACATCCCTACTCAGTTTCAGCTAGCATATATTTTTACTAAAAATTTATCTAGTCAGCGTTTTTATTTTCTCAAGTCCAATCTGCGTGTTGTTCTCTCTGTGCAGATTGAGAGGGTGTAATAGATAATAATGTAGGGATACTCTTGTAATGACTTATTCTTGGATTATTATATATACACATATATGGCTACCGCTAGGGTAAGCCATTCTCTCATAATTCTCATACCCGCTACTTGAGCTGCAAATTGCGCAAATTATACTGTGGTACCGGTATACCATGCACATGGTATACCGGCACCATATACGGCACCGTTTTTTTATCTGAAGCATTACGTTAGTTTCGTTTCTTTCCCTTCAAGGCTCAAGCCCTCCAGATTTCTTTGGAGCACTATCTCTTTATTTTTCTTTTTTGTTTTCTTTCAATTAATTTCTTCTCTCTATCTAAATATTAAAAACTAATTTTGATTTTTCTAGTATTTATCTTTAACTAATTAAATTACAATTGAATTAACTTTTTCTTTACCAATTAATTACAAAATTTTCCTAATCAACATAACGTAAGTACTACAAATTTATTTTTGGTGTCTTTTTACATTTATACACTTTTTTTTTGTAAAATATTTTTCATATTCATACACTAGTTTCTATAAATTTTTTTTATCTATTTATATGTTTGTAACGTTTTTAAGACATTAGTTGGTTTATTTCAATTTAAATCTGATAAAATATGAGATTACATTTTTCATATTTATGAGTTCTGTTTATAGACAATTTCTAGAGTTATATGTGATAGTATATGAAGTTACATCATCTTGTGCACGAGTTACATCTTCATATGTGTGTGTAACAATTGGATTTGCTTCAACAAGTTACATTTGGATTTGACTCAACAAGTTACATTTTGCATACACCTAAGTTAGATTTTCCATCAACGCGATTTATAATTTCTATAACACGAGTTACATCACAAAATAAACTCATACTCCGTACTATATTACTATTGAAACAAAAAAAATATGTAAAATAATTAGTGGAGTATTTCTTTTGGCAAAAAACAAATTGCTTGGCAAAAAATTGAATTTTCTTTTAAAATTGTTATGACCTTAATCTTAAAAACCAAATATATTCACTATTTACTTAAATTAATTGAACAATTAAACTCCTTGTTTTCATTGTTTACATTTAATATTATGTGAAGTTACATCTTTTTATGCACGAGTTACATCTGTTTATGCGTGAGTTACATCTTAATGTACGCGAGTTACACTACGAAATAAACTCTTAAAAAATGATATTTTTTAGTTATATCATTTTTTATAGCCCTAATATTAAAAAAACATATTCACTATCTACTAAAAGTAATTGATCAATGAGGATCAATTTTTCATTGTTTACATTAAAATCAATGTTTATAATATATGTATATATGTATATGTACATTTTTTATATTTTTTTTTCTTTTCTTATATATATATATATATATATATATATATATATATATATATATATATATATATATATATATATATATATATATATATATATATATATATATATATATATATATATATATATATATATATATATAAGATAGTTTAAGCGAGTTACACCACTAAATAAATTCATGCTAATGATCAAAAAATGTTTTTTAACTATATCAGTTTTATAGCCATAATATTAAAAATAAAACATATTCATTATTTACAAAAAGTAATTGGGTAGTTAGGATCAATTTTTCATTGTATTTTTTTTTTGTTATATACCGTTTTAGACAACTTACATTTCAACTTGACTCAAGTTACATTTACTATCAACGTGAGTTACATTTCTTTATACTCGAGTTACACCACCCTGCCACTGAAACCCAATAAAAGGCACTGCTCATCCGCGCGTACTGTTCATCCGTGCTTTTAGCCTTGGGAGCATGGTGCTCATAGTGGGCCGGTACCATGGTATACGAACTCTTCAAATTGCAATACGTGTTCCTTGATTAAAGCTATAAGCAACATTTTATTTGATATTTAAGCTGTTACGTATATTAATAATGATTGAATAATACTCCGTAATGCGGAGTAAATAATCAGTTCTATTATTAGTCATTTTATACAACTTTACAAGTGTTCATGAATAGATACTTATATAATCTTTTATACTACGTACTACGGTACTACCTCCGTCGCATTTTATGTGTCTCATTTGGTTTTGACACAATTTTTAATAAAAGTAATTGTCCCATATAGGACTAAAAGAGTAAAGAAATTCTCAAATAGGACCATGTATGATTTCTTCCCTTAATAGGACCAATTTACTCCTATTCCTAAACATACTAAAATTTGCATCTCAATTTTACCCCTGCACCCAATATCCCTTTTATCTCTCCATTTACAAACCTAATCGATCGACTCTTTGGTATCCTCCCTGCCGAAAAAATCGATCGACAACTCCCTCTGCAACTTCTCCTTGCGCATCGCAGCCACCGCCACCACCAACCATGCCGCCTCGCGCCGCCTTCGTCACTATTGGATTCAGCACGCATCATCGGAGGTTGTCTCTTCTTCTTTTTCTCCTTCTCCTTTTCCTTCTTCTCTTCTTCTTCTTCTTCTTCCCCGATCTACTCTTCTTTCCTCTCCTATTCCTCTTTCTCTTATTCCTCTATTTTAATGAGTTTAGACATTGATTTTTCAGATCTTCCTCCTATTCTTATGTTTTTCTGGAATTTGACATTGATTTTGTCAATTTTTAGGAATTCTATTTTGTATTTTCTGATTTTTATTTCTGATTTCTTAGTTTTTTTTAAGTTCCGATTTTCCAAAAATTTGGATGATGGTTTCAGATTTTGCCAAGTTTATGACAAAAATATGTACACTGACAATCGTAATATGGCAGAAATGCCTTTGTTTTAACCAATCTTCCTCTGTTTTGATTTTCTGATTTCTAGTTTCTGAGTTTTAAAATAAATTTTAATTTTCAACATTTTGGATGATTGCTTCGGATTTGGCCAAATTTGTGGCAGAAATGTGTACATTAACATCATATTATGGCAAAAATGCTTTTCTATAAATCCATTTTTCTGATTTTGTGTGAATAGTTTTGTTTTTCTAATTTCTGATTGTGCTAAAAAAGTTATTTCATTAAAAAAATTAGTTGTTTCAATATCTGGTTATTTACTTCATGTTTTTCATTTTTTGCCAAATTTATGGCAGTTTTGTGTTAATATTCCAACATGAATCTGCCAACTCTTTGGCAGATCTGAAACTCTTGTGTTATGGCATGGCAGATGTGGATCGAGTCCTCAACTCTAAATCTGCCAACATCATGTCAGTTTTATTCCGTCTGAATTGTTACGATAGTAGTGGGGCTGAAAGGTGGCGGTGGTGGTGACGTCGCCGGGCGTCGCCGGTGTGGTAAGCGGTGGGGTAGGGACGGCGATGGGTGGTGATGATGCGTCGGCAAGGATGCAGCAGCAGGCGGCGATGGAGGCGACATGCGGCACATTCGCTGGCGAGGGCAGTGACAAGCAGCGGCGTCTCCGACGACGGCGGTGACAGGCGGCGGCGTCTCCGGTGAGGGCAAAGTCAGGATGCGCCGGCGGGAGGTTTGCCTCTGGCGGTGGTAGTGTTACTGCTAGGGCTCAATAGTTTTTAATTTTACATTTTTAAAATTTAAAATATTAAAAGGTGGTATTTTTGTCCAACTGCTCTGAAAATAGTCCTATGAAACTTAACTTCCGTAAGCAGTCCTATATGTGCAATAAAGTTTGCAATTAGTCATATTTGAGTCATTAACTCTTTTAATAAAGTGGTTGAAAAACTAAAGTTATGGTCGGATTTGAGTATAATAAAGTGGAATGTTGTGAACCACATATTTGTTTTCCAAAAAAGGAAATGTGACACTTATTTTGGATAATCCAAAAAAAAAATAAGACAAATAAAATGAGACGTATGGAGTAAGATTTTGCACACTATTGTTCGTCTAATACAAACACACTTTGGTCACTAGATCGAGATAGGCACAAAGCCCTAAAAGCTGGGTTATACCCAGGGCCGGTCCTGAGGAAATGAAGACCCTGTGTAACAAAAATAATTGGGTCTTCTTTTCAAAGTTTTAACACAAGTTAAAAAACTGAATCGAAACCGCACCGACTCAAATGGGACCCGAAAGTCGAGACTCGAACATAAATCGGTTTAATGAATGTTTTTTGAGTTATAAAATCGGTTCAAACCGAACCGAACCGATTTTTATTAAGAGGTATTTTTAATTATTTATTTTGTAAAACAAATAGGTAATATAAAGCTTGTACGTCCTTATTTCAACAATTAGTTGATTCGGTCCAGTGGGTTGATGTTTAGAGATTAGCGTGCATGATTTTATTTTCACGTGGGTTCGAATCCCGCATGCCTCGCTTGTTATCTTTTTAGTTTCTAAAGCTTAAGATTCCCACACCGGTGAAAACGGAGGATTTAGTACTCCTTCGTTCCTATATATATACGCTCCACCTCTAAGTAATACTACTCCCTTCGTCTCAAATTGTTTTGCAAAGTCAACATTTTTTGGTCAACCAATAAAAAAGTCAATGCTCCCTATCGATAATTAATTCCATTTTTAATAATTAAAATTTATATATTCAGAAACTATATTAATATCTCTTCAAAGTTGTAAATTCAAAATTAGAATATTATTAAAAATTGACATCCTAATTAAGCAAATAAAATGAAATTGTTTGACCAAGAAAAATCAAATTTGCAAATCAATTTGGGACGAAGGTAGTAGTATATTACTACAAAAAAATTGAGCCCTTCCAATTTTTTGGGGTCTGTGCGGTTGGACACCCTACACACCCTCAGGGCCGACCCTGATTATACCTTATAAGAAGGGTAGAAGGGAAAACCATATATAACCCACAAAGATGTTTTTTTTTGGATGAAGTAATTTAACATAAGATTCACACACTTCACAACTTTTTGATGTATTTCAACATAAGATAAACACCTCAAACTTTAATTGAAAATAATTGAAATACCCCAAATTTTAAAGGGATGTAAGATAAACATCCCGAACTTTCATATGTAATTTAAATACCCAAAACTTAATATAAAAAGTTATTTTAACACCATGGTTATTTATTATTTCTTTCAAAAATGTAAATTTATAGTGTTAAATGCATAATTTAAAATAGCAAATTGAAATCATTAGAATTATATATAGTGGTGGGTAACACAATTTATTTTACAATGAAAGCTTGGAATGTTAATTGTATATTTATGAATGCTAAAAATGATCAAATTATGAAATAAATACCAAAAATTAATATTTTTGAAAGAAATAATACATGATCATGGTGCTAAAATAACTTTTTATATAAAATTTGGTGTATTTAAATTACATATGCAATTTTGGGGTGCTTTATCTCACATCCCATCAAAATTTGGGGTATTTTAATTATTTTTCCTTTAAGTACAAATACATATTGCTCAAATATTCAATTGAGGGCCTAAGTATAGATAATTGAGGAGGTGTTTGGATCTGATTCTCAAAACTGATTCTGCTCCTTCAGGGAGCAGAAGCAGAAGTTGGAGTGTTTGGGTGAAATTCCAGAAGCACTTCTGGTGCTCTAATTTACTCTCAGAATCAGTTTTTTTAGAAGCTGGGGGGTACCAGCTTCTGAAAACTGATTCTGATTCTGCTTTTACTTTAAAAAAGAAGCAGAAGCAGAATCAGTTCCAAACACCCCCTGAAAGGTAGATAAGGTGTAGTAGACTGCTAGATAAAATATGTATTAGCCATTAATCATAGAACTGGCCTGGTCTATTAGGCCAACAACATATTAACAATTGAACCCCTCTATTACTATAATTAAGGGGCATCGGTCGACACTATAGAGTGCTGATAGCTGAATGGACGGCGACATTGGACAAAGGCGAATTGGTGTCATTTTCCTTGGCTAATTAAGTTAGTGTTATGGGAGACTAAATTTTGTAGGCATCAGGAAAAGCGTAGCAGAAGGCCAGGGACACTTTTGGCTCATTGGCAGATCGATAGATTAACATTACATTGAATTTTGTGAGAGGGCACTTCAATAGGGAAAGCAATGATTAATGAAGATGTCGTACTACAAATTAAAAAGATGCTATGTGCTGCCTATGCCTTACATATATAGAAGCATAATCCATTATTAAGATCTTGTTTTACCGACCGTGGAATCGCTCGTTCTAGACATACACACACTGTGACTCGATAGAATAATGTAGAAGTAAATTACGATATCATCTCAATTTTTTCGAGTGAGGTTGTTCACAGTATGGGGTGCATAATGAACCATCACATTAGATGAAACTTTCACATTACTGCTACTATAACATCTTGTTTCATGATATGTCCACAACCTTACATTAATAGCTTTAAAACTTATGAAATACGGAGTACTACAGTAACTCATAAAAATGAGGCACGCCTAGAGGTAACCGTAAAAGATTGAGCAAAGGCTGTTTAGATTAGGTGGACAACCTAGAGTATTAATACTTATGGTAAAAATCATGTCCCCATCCGGACAAAAAAAACGTATTAGATATATGGATAATTTCGTTGAAGAACATATATAATAGAAGTGACAAATGTAAATGACTACGAAGTATGATGGAGCAATTTGTTACAGTTAGACATGTTATTGATATTATCACTACTAGGGGTGGACTCGGGCCGGGCCAACCGGCCCGGAACCGGACCGGCCCGCCACTGTGCGGGCCCGGACCGGCCCGGGAACCGGTTCGTTGGCCGGTTCGGGCCACCCGGCCCGGTGGATTCTCGGTTCGGGCTCGGGCCCTTCAAAAGGTGAACCGGCCCGGGCCGGGCCAATTTTATTTTATTTTATTTTTGAATTTTTTTTGAGTTTTTGGGTTGGGCTGGTTATTTTGGGCCATTTGAGGTGGTTAGGGTTGGTTTGGGGGTGAGGGGGAGGGATAGGGGTTAACTAGGAAAAGCCCAAAAAAAAAATATACCCGAGGCCCGGCCCGGCCCGGACCCGGGGGTTACCCGGGCCGGTTCCGGGCCTCCCCTTCTTGAACCGAGGCCCGGCCGGGCCCAGGTCCGAACCGGGCTCGAACCAGCCCGAGTCCACTCCTAATCACTACACTTTCTTTTAAATTGATGATTTTTTTGATAAGTATGAATAATGTTTATCCAAACTCCAATGTTAGAGGTCAAATGACAAAACTTCTAATATGACAAAACTTAATGGAAGAAAGATTTTTATCTTGAAAAATGTGTCAATTCGCAATATGATAAAAGTTAGATGTATAAAATCATATTATTAAATGAAGTTAATTGTATTGAAGGATGAAATAGCAAACTTGAATTATACTTCACTTCATTTTTTAACGCGGTAATATTATATTTCAAACAAGTTCCAACAAATTTTGTGGCTCCTGACCATTTTTTAATACGAAAAATAACAAGAATTCCAATGCAAAATCAGAGACAACAATGCAAGGATGATTCATTTTTAATCTGAATCATGTCCTTTCAGAAAAACAATGTTTAGAATCATGTTAATGGATTCAAAACTAGACTTATAAGTCTACATTGTTAATGGATTCATTTTTAGCGTTTGTACTCTCCTTTTCTATTAATAAAATGTTCCCCGACATTAAAAAAAAAAGTCTACATTGCTTAAAACCAACATTGAATAAGCTATTTCCGTTTAAAAATAATAACAGAATAGACTAATAAAACAGTCGACCCGATCCAATCCATTCCATTCCATTCCATTCCATCCAGGGGATTCCAGGCAGTGCCCTTTAGAAAATTTGTGGATCCTCGAGTGCAGACGGTCCTTTCGGCGTCATTGAGTGGGTCTATATTATATGAGTGGAATGACAATATGGAAATTAGTTTGTTGAACATTAATTTATAATTCTAGGTAGACTTTCGTGCCTTGAATTCTCAGACTCCGTCCAACTTGATTAAACAGCCCTACTCATGACCACATTCAATAGTAAAAAAAAAGAGGGTGGGAAAACAGATTTTAGAGACATAATTCCCCTAATACCTAAGGATTACAATAGGTATCACTTTACTTTGACTTTCCAAAGTGGTTTTGTCCACAAAATGGTTCAAATGCCACTCCATTAGGCAGACAAGAAAGCCCAACAAGATAATTTTTACAGTTGCATGTCCTTTTCAAATCTCACTCTAGCAAAAGTTAAAGCTGCAGGTTTACCACTCTTCCTGCTTCAGATTTACCTTTTCTCACCTGCACTGCAATGGAATCACACAGTGATTAGCGCGCTTTACCATTCGCATTAAGTAACAACATTTGGGGTGGTACAGTACATATTGTAGTGGGGGCATTATGTGGTGCATTGTAATTTCAAGGAAGCTAGGCTCTCTCTGTATTTTCAAACTAAGTGGAAGTGGAACAAACCGTACATTACATGGAGTACTCAGAAGAACTTATTTTCCAGGAATGTATGTTTCAGAAAAAATGGTTCATAGACAAAGCGTTTTTCTGGACTCATTTTCTAAAAAAGTAGTGACTTTAATTTGATTTATTCTACATTTGAATTAACAGAATGAATAGAAAGGTGATTTTTTTTATTTATTTAGAAAAGATAGCATCAATATCAACCAAACAATTCCTTGAAAAGAAGTGGGGAATTCGTAAAGCAATTGTTGTTCTGTTACTAAATATTCCTACCTTCTATGGAAATTGCCGAAATAGGATCAATACGTTTCACTATTTCAAAATAGGACTAACCTTTTAATTTTTGATCTTATAGATATAAGAATTTGTGAAGTGGTGAATCACACAATGTCACAAAACCAATACTCTCTAATTGTTGTAACTTTGTGGGATTCAGCAATTCAGGTATATGTTCAAATAGAGTAAAATCAGTAATTGTACACTCATCATGTGTAATACTCCGTATGAGATATAATGACTGTAGTCATGATTTAAGTTGATTTATGATAAGTATAATAAGGGAAGTAATGTGAAACTATATCTTGACTATACACTTACTACAAAGAGTAAATATGTAAAAAATCTAAACTTTTTTAGGAGTGGCATACTTTTAAAAAGTGGCATACTTTTTTAGGAGTCCCATAAAAGTTTTCTCACTTTCCTTTTTGGTCCATCCCAAAAAATTCTTGTGACTTACCATTTTTGGACAATTTGTATGGTTCACATTCATTTCATTTTTTTCTTACATAACTACAACCACACATTTTCACTTTATTCCACTTTATTCCACTTTTTTAATCTCCGTGCCAAGTCAAAGTGGGAAGAATTTTATGGGACGGAAGGAATAACATAGGAGTGCCTCTTGTCACAGTATCACCCCATAAGTACGACGACAACCGTGTTTTTTTTAATTTGACTTTTAGAACTCTATGCTCATAAAGTAGGGATACTAACACTTGTTTTCTTTTTAAAGCTTTGACTTTTATGATCATGAGAATTTAATTTAACGACATGCATAAAGGGAAATGAGAATTTACTCTAGTCGATCACAACTGTCACAACAAAGGCACGAAATAAAGCCTAGATACCAGTAATAATCACATCAGAAATAGTCAATCCAAATTCTTTATTACTAGTGGAAGTTGAGATATACCACATCATAATTTCTTACCATTTTTTTTCCGTCCTAGACTCACCTAGTTATAGATACATTATTTTCATTTTAAAAAAGTATGCACTCCATCTCTAAACACTTCACAACCCGAAAGACACTTTACTCGAAGAGTTAAATTGAGTTCTAATCACAATCTCAGTGTTAGAGAGTAAAAGATTCATTTCATACTTACATGGACCTCTTATTGAGCAAGGTTGTCCCCTAAGATAGTTACTAAACTTATATGAATTGAACCCAGATCTACCCTTAGTGGCATACCCTACCAATCAATTGAGCTACACTGATCATCATTGTTTTCATTCAAAGAGAACTAGAGATACCAGATGTGATCGACTAATAGGATCAAATATATTTTATTTCTGAAATAAGACTAATTTAATCCTATATAAAGAAAATTTGAATGACACCATCTAATATTGAATACTGTTGTCCAAACTTTCTCACTCTTTTACCCGTTGAGCTACCGTGCGATCTCTCGTATTGATTATTGAATATTGCGTGTATAATTGTAATCAAGTAAAGTAGATAAAAAGAGGAAGACACTACTACGTACTCCGTATTACTTTAATTTGCCTATTGTAGTCAACCACAAAATACATCAACATGATTCACCAAATCCCCAAAGCCCTTTATCTTGAGTTTTTTAGGAGTACGGACAAACTGTCTTTATGAACGGATCAACCCACCCAAGTAATAGAATGTGAAATGACCACTTTGCCCCCCTTCACCTACAAGCTTTCCCTAGGGTCCATCTGCAAATCACTAAAATGGTCTTGTGAGTTGTGAACATCAATGTCCGTGAGGGTAACAACTAACAACTTAACCTAAAACAACGTTTGTAGCATACATCATCACCTATTTGGAGTGGGGGATTTCTTTCTCCATGCTTAATTGAAATCACCCAAATACCTAATCTGATCTTTACAAAGACAAAATGACAAAAATGACCCACGGGAACACATAAACAAGTAAACAGTATCAGCATCTTGCCATCTTGTTTGGTTGGACAGATTGTGTTAAAGAAAATGGATGGAGAGAAGTGGGACCATTGGATAGGAAAAATATAAACCGTTTGGTTGGGTGAGTATTAAAGAAGTTGACCTGGTCGCCACACCCACACGTGATAAGAGAACTTTGAGGGTAAGATAAATATAGAAATTCAACCTCATTAATGCAAACTAACAATAAGCACATAATTCACTTTCCTTTCCCTCCCCCACCTTCTTTCATTAATAGATTTTCTTATTAGGGTCTCCTTCAAATTGCAGATATAACGTGAACGTCCAAAGGAAAAATTCACCAGTTATCTCAACTTATTCTTTCTTTTAATATATAATACAAAAATCATAAACAATAAATTAACAAAAACCAAGAATCTATAAATAAAAATGACAAATCAAAGAAAATAAATAATTTAGTAATACCAATACTGTCACATTAATTATTTCATGCCTATATCATACGACGTATAATCTAATCCATACAATACCAATTTGTTATACCAGTATAGCAATATTAATCCAATAATTTTTAGATTATACCTATTTGTCATACATTTGGCATATTAAATATTTAAATTTACACATTTACTCCTTTAGTAGACAATATTTCACTGTAATCATATTAAAACACTTGTAGTACTAAAAAGTTAAAATCCTTATTAACTTATTTAGACATCTACATGTGACACGTCGCTGCCTGCTGGATGCGTAGAAGATAATTTTCCTATTCTAATTTCCAATTATTAAATAATTATACATAATACTAATAGTAATAATTTTGATTTTGGAGGCCCCTTGACATGTGACTATGTGAGGCTCAAGGCTGTTGCCTAGGCTAACTCCCCCCAAAACCTCTTCTGATTCTAAATATGCTACTGATTCTAAATCATTCTTACTTTATCAATTCATTATCACTACATAAACCAACATTTATTGATATGTGTGTCATTTTCTCTTGTACCATTATTAGTGAAAATTGAAAAAGGAAGTACATATTAATACTCGCACATATTTAAACTTTGAAGTAACTATACCTACTTAAAAATATGTATTGGGCGGCGGCCTCCATTTCCCCACTTTGTAACCGCCTCTCTAACATAGCATTTGATAGATCAAGGTAAAGTGGTTACGAGAGTAGTTTGTATGTGAAATGGATTTTGCTCCTCTACATTAATTGGAAATGTCGGTAGGAGAGACAGAGAAGTGGGGAAATGGTAGGATAGAGAAAAAGAAAAGATTGTGTTTAATTATTACTTTTAAGAAGAGAGATAGAATGAAAAAGAAATTGAGAGAATAAATAGAGAAAAAAGGAAATGGAGAGAAGTATGACTCATCTGAAATGTAGGGATGTAAAAGCTTTACCTACACCGTTTGGTTTGACTATGTGAACTGTAGGATGTAGTTCTTTCCCGTTGTACTATGTAAACCATACTCCCTCCGTCTCATATTTAATTCCGGTTTTGACCGGGCACGAGTTTTAAGATAGTGGGATTTGTGTGGTGGAGAGTTATGCAGAGGAGAGAGAAATGTGTAAGAATGGTTGTGAACCACATATTCTTTATCAAAAAGGGAAAAAGGAGATAAATTTGAGACGGATCGAAAAGGAAAGAATGAAGATAATTCCGGGACGGAGGGAGTATGTTTTTGTGGAAAATACTTAACGTGCTTTTTCTAACGCAATAAAATGAGTGTGATGTAATTTAATTTTTACACACCTAACCAAACAACATATTTGTATTTTCTGTAAAGTGATTGTTTCCATAATCTTTGCATGCAATCATTTTGCATGAAAAGTTTCAACATTTTAATTACTTACGACCCATAAGTAGTTCAATCACATTTAAGCAATAGGAGTACAAAATACTCCCTCCGTCCCTAAATAAAAGCATCTGTTTCCTTTTCGGGTCGTCCCTAAATAAAAATTCTATTTCCTTTTTTGGCAAACAAAACAGTGCAAAACAGTGTCAAACAGTGCCAATCAATCCCACTTTCTTAAAATGTGTGGAAAACGAATATATACTTTTTTATAGGGACATAGGGAGTACAAAAAATACTACTCCGTACATCTTGGTAGACCAGAGTTATGACCGATTAGATTTAAGAATTTAGTGTAAACAAGATGAAACATAAACATGCAAGATCAGAACTATTCAAATTAGATCACACTAAACTAATCTAGAATTAAAAAACTCCCACTACATAACGACCCTCATCATCTATCACTCAGTCAATTTTACGCCTTATATGACAAATTTATTCTCATATGGCGTACATTTGGTTGACCACTTTTCCCTGGTGCATCCACTGGAAGGGGATGATAATGATAGCTCCAAAGGGAGCTTGTGATGTGATTATAATTAGGTGATCGTGTGAGTGATTAAAACAAATTAAATGAAACTAAAAGCAATATTCTAAATTAGGAAAACCGTTATTATACTACTCCGTACTGTTTGACAATGAAGGGAGAAGACATCGAGGGTGATTTGAATATTTTTGGCCTTTTGACCAACTTAATCGGTTAATTAAAGTGTTTGGTTAAATGGCTTCTAAACGCCCATAAAATCTTAGCTTTTGGCCATGACTTTTTCTATTACTATTTTATATTTCTATTCTACTCTAAGTAGCAACGTATTCTTCTTCTTCTGATAAACTACCCCTCTTTGTTGGTCAAGATCACAGTTGACACTTTCAATAGTAAAGCCCCCATAACAATAATATTCCCCATATACTACCGTATATGTTTCAAGAGCTCACAATTTGACTTTTTTTTTTCTGAGTCAAACAAATTAATAAATTAAAGACTACTGGCCCCAAAACAATTTAAAGACTAGTGACGGTAATGCTTAACAATTTAAACACTAATTCAACAAATTAAACATTTGTATGAGGAATTTCGCTCCAAAGAAAATTAAAAAATACTAATTAAATTTATTAATTCATGAAAAAATGTTTAAAATAAATATTACTTGTGTTAATACATTTTTTTAAATCATAAAAATAGATTAGGTAGTTGTACTAATTACATTGATAAACAAATTATTCACGTCCTTAAAAGTCATTTAGCAAGGTATCAGCTAATTGTAAACAACCACTTAACCAAACACCATTTTACAAACCGTTAATCTTATCAGCTAATTAACCAAAACAGTCAACAAAATCGACTATCATCAATCAGCTAATATAATCGCCAACAGCCGTTTGCCAAACATCCCCATTTACAAATAATGGTTAGAGATGATAAATTTACCTGCCATTCCTTTCTTCGTTTCAATATTTGATAATATTCAAGAGCTGTTGCTGTTTGTTGGAGGAGCAGCTTTCTTGATGGAAACAATGGGGGATAATCCGCTAATCCTCCTCCTTTGCTGCTCTTCCACAAGTTCACCGGCAAGCCAATCAAGTTTCTGGGAATTGCTTTCTCCCATCCTCTTTCCCCCAAACAGCACAGATTCTACATTTTTCTGTACAAGCATTTCATCTGCAATCCGAACCAGCTTCCTCACATTGTTCGGACCAGGGTCCGTGTCTAAGCACACCCCGCCACCAACACTAGATCCATTCGCCTGTCACCAAAAAAATTCAGTCACTTTAATGCATTTTCGTTAAGCTAGTAATTAATTAGGATAAGTTGTTAGGGTTTATTTAGAAGATATCAAGTTGCATGTAAACGGATCTACCAACAAAACTTGAGTGTAAGAACTTGGGTTTTGAACAAAAATGTTGTGTGATCTTACAATTTAAAGAATGTTATTGAGCAGAATGCTTAGGCAGTAGTTCGCCATAGGTTTTTACACTCGTTTCTATGTAGGTGATTTCCATTAAAAACAATCTAAAAAATGTTTTTTGATTCCACAAAAAAAGTAAATTTTTTAAAGGTAAGATTTTTTTCTGTATTTTGAGGTCGTTTGGCAACCCTCATATTCGGCTTATCAGGCTTATCAGCCAACTTTTTTACCAAACACGTAAATTTTGCTTTCACGTGCTGAATTGTGTAATAAGCCGAAAAAGTAAGGTTGGAGTTACTTTTCTGGCTGTATTGGCTGAAGTTACTGTAGATGACCATTTTAGCTATTTTTACATATAATTTTTTCTTTATTTTATTAATAAATCATATTTCAAAATTATTTTTTTCTTGTATCAGCAGAATCAACCAATGCAGCTACTTCAGCCAGAAATTCATAAATTTCAGCAGAATCAGCCAGAACGGTCGATTTTCATGCTGCCAAACGAGCTCTTTGTATTCAACATTTTTTGTGAACACGCAGTGGATTCCCCAACCTGCATGTGCCTACTGGCCACTCACCTCCGCTAACAAGAAATATGTGTGCATTGTTATCCAATAGTGACATAACATATGTCAACTCATTGACTCCAAAGCAAGAATACAGCTTATCTTACTAGACTGATCCATCTATCACACAAATCTGTTACTTTCACTTCATCTCTCCCTTCCTAATTGCTAAATTACTCTTACGTACTTCCTTTGTCTCCTGTTATTGTCTCATATCCTATTCACTTAGTCAACACAAATCATTCTTAATCTCGATATATCAAACTTTTATCTGTCAAATCACTATTAATGACTTATCACTCTTAATCTCTTACACAAATTTGTTGAGTGGCCAGTACTCCAAACAAAATGACACAAATTGAAACCAAATTAATCGAGTCATGGAAATTTAGTCGTGGGAACTAAAAAAGTCAACCCACCACTTAACATTACGGATAATTTATCCTCAAATGGTGTACATTTGGTAGGCGATGTGTCACTTTTAAAATGCACACTAGGCATGTCACTTGTAACAATCAGGATACACTTGGCATGCGGTAAAGCACACGTGTCATGCCAGGTCACACCATTCGGTTTGAGTGAGTGAACAGGACAACTAGGAAATCAAAATCCATATTAATGTTTTCACATGATACTTGCTCCCTCCTTCCACTTGCTCCCTCCCTCCAACAAAACTTGACCTTTTCCCCCGATTAATAAAATAAAAATTGTATGGTTAAAATTTGTGCAAGATAAAAGAAAAATAACTTTAAACGCATATTTCTTACTTTAAATGAAAATGAAAAAGTTTTTTAGAATGACAAAAAAAAATTAGCCAAATTTTATGGGAACAGATAGAATATTAGATTAGGCAAAAATCTAAAAATTCTCTGTTTCTTATCCATGTAGCTTTCGCTTGGCAGATGCAAAGAGCAGAATAAAGTGAACCTGGAGCAGAGTAAATGAGACTAAATGGGTGAGGGGAATGAATGCAGAAGTAGGCTAATAAACGTACTGTACCATAGGACAGGGGCCAAATATGAATGATAAATAAGGGCAGCAGGTTCTTGTACAGGGTGTAGGTGAAAAAGAGCAGACTATAGTCCCTAGTGTTTTTAGGTCCACTATAAATTCTCTATAGCCTTTTGCCCTTCTCATTAATTTACCTGAAAATACTGTTCTCCTGCTCACTCCTCATTTATACACGTCTGCCCGTTAACATTCACTCTTTGAAGCACACATTGATCGAATATGCACATATAGTCGGGGATGGATTTAAGGGGGGCGCGGGGTGCGACCGCCCCCCTTGGACTTTCAAACTTTTCTACTATATATGTAATATTTTTGTAAAATTTTGATACTTTAATTAGATTCGCCCCCCTTAATTTTTTGTTGAACATTGTCCCCCTTAACTTTTAGTTTTTAAAATTAATATATAGTCTTACACAATGTAATACTTAATTGTAGATTTAAAAAAGGAACATCTAAAATAATTTACCTAACTTGAATAAACAATAGAAGAACTCATTATTTGAGATTTAGGATACTTATTGTATAAAAATTCTCAATTTTGTAATGTTTAATTATCTTTATTCGATAATTAGTAAACAATTTTGAAAAATATATATCAAACGATATTAAATACCAGACACTAGCTACAAAGTTTTTAGACCATGTGAAGTGAATCCAAATTATAAATGTTTATTGACATTGAATTACACTATTCATTTACTTCTTACGTTCTAAAGAGACTTTATTGCATAGATAATAAACTTTAATTGTTTTAGCATTAATACAAATATAATATGCACTATATATATATATATATATATGAATTAGCAATATAATATTATTCTAAAAATAATAATATCATACATACTATTGTAATATTAAAAGAACTGCTTGTGACTTATGAACACCCTCCATGGTAGACAAAAATTGTAATTCAAAAATCAATTCTTTATTTCTGTAAGAGTTGTGTAGTTAAGCAATATTGAAGTTATTTTAAAAGTACTGGTGAATGTGTACCTTATAAACTCTTTATATTTAAATAAAATGTTATATATCCTTTTTTTATTTTTGTATTATTTTCCATTGATTTGTCATTTCTTATGCTTTAATGTATCAATACTTTTTTCTAGAGCACTCCAATTATAAAATTAAAGTTATTTTGTCATTGTCTAAACTTAGAATGTAATATATAGATTTAAATGTCGTCATATATGTATTAATGAATTTTTTTGAATAAAAATAGCCGCAGAGCCTTACACTAGTGAAAATTTTTGCTCCGCTACACTAGAGAAAAAAAAATTCGCCCCGTTACACTAATGAATTTTTTTATCTCCTACACTAACGAAAAGTTTCGCCCCCTTGACTCGAAATCCTGGATACGTCTCTGCATAAAGTCATAGCAATAAAAGGATGACACCCCATCCATGTGGGTCCTCAACACCGATCGGAAGGTACGTTGTGAGAATGTAAATTGGATAATCACAATCTGATAGATAGAGAGTGAGGCTCTGTCCCCGGTACTTGCATAGACCCTATGCATTTTTTAGCATAATAATCTATTGTAGTTGACGGGATTCGAACCTGAGACCTAACCCTTGTGGCACTCCCCGCTACCAATTGAGCTACGTACCCTTGTGACACTCTCCGCTACCCATGTATTTTGAGGTACATAAAGTCATTGCCTTTTTTACCGGAGGGGATGACAATGTTAAATTGTTTAACAGCTTAATTTCTTATGTGTGGTCATTTTCAATGCATCACTCACTTCTTTCTCAAATAAATTGTAGACTACAATGTGATTACGTAGTACTCCGTACTCTAATACTCCCTGGTCCTCCCTCATAAAGATTTTGAATTTGCATTTTTGGATATTCCATAAAGGTTCTCGTTTACAATTTAGCAAACAATTAACATTTTTAATTGGAAATTTTACCATCAAATTTTAAAAATAATACATTTATAACATCATAGGTATCACCATTAATTCTATTATATTATATACTTATCAAAATTATTTCCCAAAATATACTTGAATTATTTTATTTAATTATTGACTAAATAACCGGGTCATTATGCAATGAGAATCTTTAAATGAGACGAAAGTAGTAAAACTTGGAACATGTTTGATATCCCTATTTTCAAATGAATTAATTGCCTTATTAGAAAACACTTTTACAAAAGATATGTCTTTTAATTTTGCGTGCTAAATTACGTAATAATCAAAATAAATGAGATTATATTTATTTTTCCAATTGAATTAACTGAAATTGACAAACGTGACTATTATTTTAGCTATATTTTCATAAAAAATCTTTATTTTATTATTACAATATATTTTAAACATATGTTTTTTCACAATTTAACACACACTCGATTCAAACGTTTAATTAAGAATTTTATCATTTTCATCAAATTCGAATAATTTTGTAGTTATGCTCTTAAGCTAATGATACTATTATTTTTTCAGAAACCTTACTTAATATCGAAAATCCGATTAGATGAGAAGAAACGAGGTTCCTTATAACAAACCTACTAGTTGTCCAGTATATTGAAGTTCTACACCATATATTTCTTGTTGTAATTTTGTCAAATTTAACCGATAGGAATAATATTATAATAAAAATTGTGTTATTAAAGTTTGTGTACAAGAGAGAAAGTAATACTACGTGTAAACCATAAATTAATTAATTAAGAGAGAAAAAGACAAAGTGCATAAAAAAAGATAGCTATAATGGATGGAAGAAGTTTACGTGTTTAAAATCTACTATGACATAGAAATATTTAATTAATAGTTTAAGACTTTTCTTAAAATACAACTACAATAATACTAATGGGAAATAGTGACTAAAGTGATTATGTATATACGGAGTACTTTTATAATCAGAGAAAATTGACTAAGAATCGAAATGAACAACGGATCAGGAGCGGATGCAAGGTACCGAGGCCGGTACAAAAAATATTCTGAAATAATATTTTACACAAAAATTTTACACTAAAAATATAAGCATTTTTAAAATTTGGATTGGGTCAGATGCTAGGTTGGCCACCCCTAGCTACGCCATTACAACGGTTGTGTGGAGTGACAGCTCCTGTGTACGGGTGTGCACGAGTACAAAGTCAATAACTATAAAATTACCGAATCACCGTGACTTATTACCTCATCCAAAATGATTTATTGGAAATGGGCGTGTAGGCCAGGCCCTTGGGGTGAAAGATTCAACCTTTTGAAACATTATATTCATTTACTCACTAATATGTACTTCCTTCGTTCCATTTAAATCTTACACTTTCCATTTTGATACGTCTCATTTACTCCTTTACGTTTCTTTTTGAGGTAACTCCTTTTACATTAAATTTCTTAATTATCCTTCAATACTCATCCACTCTTTACATTTGAGTGGATATCATAAAATTCCCTCAAAAGTCAAAGGGCATGCAAGATATTTGTTCTTCTATTTATTGAGATCCTAAATTACCGTGCCAAAAGCAGACGTCAAGTTTTATCCGGGACGGAGGAAGTACTACCGAACATTATCATATTCAATAAAAATTAATAAGTCGTGTACTGTGCAGTATTTGTATTTTGATACTCCCTCCGTCCCGGAATTATCTTCATACTTTCTTTTTCCGTCCGTCCCAAATTTATCTCTTCAATTACTCCTATTTGCAATTTTCAGTAACATTCGAACTGTTAGAAATTATAAGCCTTCTTAAGTCTGAAGTACTACGGAGTACGTATTAATCATAGCTCCACGCCGGCCGGCGACTTGCTATGAACAAATGTACAGTCGTACAGAACACTTCTCTACTAATGCGTTGAAAGTTGACATGAATGGAATATATAGGAGTACCTGAATGCGGACGTAATTGGAGCTCCGGGACTGTCCGAACGCCATGGCTACGGCGTGGTCAACTAAATCCGCCGAGCAATCGCCGGAGATTCGGGCCCACTCATTGCCCTTCCATTCCTTCACTTGCTCGTATGGTAAACTGCAGCCTTCTAGAAGTTGACCCGTCCCCAATGAAAGTACCAGAATGTCCTCCAATCCTCTCACCAGAGGGAACTCTTCTTTGTTATGAAGCACGTGAGTGATGGCCGCAGCGGTCGGGTTGCTCATCGCAAGTCCGCCGTCCACCGCCAAGCACCGGGTCGACCCGTCCACTGACGTCATTAGAACCGGCCCGAACACTCCCGCTTCCGCTGACGTGGCTCTGCATACTTCCCATAGCCGGAAGTCGAAGCTGTCCGACTCAAGCGCATTGGCCCGAGAGAACAGAAACGGGGCCCGACTTGAAAGGTCGTAGCAAGGAATCAAAACCGGCTTCAGCGTGTCCTTTAACGTCAGGCTCCGACCCGTTTTCTCCTCTGCGAATGCCTCCTTCATTGCCTTCTCTAGACCGGTTATTGATGATCCGGTACTATGATAACGGAATAATCGCCCGAATATTCCGGTCCTGCCGGAGCTAGAACCTTTCGTGGGGAACAATTTTCCCCCATTTTCAGCCAAAAATCTCCACGTTTCATCCGCTTTAAAAATCGGGCGGCTCTGGTCCTTCGTGCCGAACAACATCGCCGTGAAAATGCCTCCGACGCCGGAACCGGCGGCAACGTCGAAGTAATCAGATATCCGTGCATCCGGATTGCCTGATTTTGCTTTCAACGCCTGCTCCAGATACGCCATTGCTTTCCCGGAGAGGATGCTCCGCATTCCGCCTCCATCAATGGACAGGACACAAACCTTCCCTCTCGAGTTCTTAATCGCTTGCAGACGGCCTCCGTTCCCGCACACTTCCACCGGCGGCGGAGTTGAGACTACTTCAAGCGCCGGTTGGATGGATTTTGGAATCCAAAGCTTCTGGTTATCGTACCCGAATAGGAACTTGCTCTCGAGGATGGAGAATATCTCGTAGCTCAGCTTATCGGTGTCAATGCTGGGCTCCTCTAACATAAAATCTGCGGTGTGGTTGGCAGCAGACATTGCTGGGAAAAATCTCAAAAATTCAAAGCATTCACGTATTTTGGTGCAATATATGTCGAAGAAAGAGAACAGAGAAATAAAGAGCAGCAAGATGTGCGGGAGTTGCAGAGCATGTCTGTTGTGGTGAGGTAACCGCTTTAACCTTTTAAGCAAAGGAATTTAGGATGTATTTGCGCCATTTGTACCCATATGAGGTAGTACAATCCGACTCGAAAGTACGTTGGAAGGATGTAAATTGAACTATAATCCCAACCTTTGTGACACTTCCTTGCTACTTAGTTGTATGTGTACAAAGGTCCTTTTGAACGAGTTATATGTGTGCACACAGATATTTTTGCCTCGATTGGAGATGAAGTACACATGCATCTACATATTTTTGTGTATAACAAATGTGTACAAATTATGTATACAAGTGACTTTTTTCAAGATTCTTAGCTAGATTAGTATTTAATTTTTTTTTCTTTTAAGATTAAATAGGTCCTATTATAAAAATGTGAAGTTGCTTTCTATAGTCTTTTTAATAATAATGTAGTTATACCGTGGATGCAAATTTCCTAATAATGTAGTTTTGTTATATAGGAATAAATACTTCAATATAGTATAGGGTAATTTACTAAATAAGAGAAAATAATAGATAAAATATAAAAATAGCTGCATAAAGTTTAAATTTCAAAAATATTATATTTAGAAATAGGATTTTTAATAGGATTTTATTCATAGTAAAATATAAAAAATAAATTGTCATTCTCTATTATTTAGTAGGATTTTATAATTATAATAAAATGTAAAAAAAATATTAAAAAATAAAAAACATAAAAAATAAAAAATATACTGGCCTCGACCACCATCTCAGCAACCTTTCAGCACTGTCATCCTTGATTGGCGCAAAAATCTCAACCTGAAAAAATGTCATCTTTGTTGTTTTGAAAACATAATTTGATATTTTCAAAAAGTAAAAATTTCAAAGAAAAGTGGCCGTTTTGAAGCAAAATGACATTTTATCATGCGATCCAAGATGGAGGATGCGGCAGATACATATTTTTTATATGTTCTCTTTTTTGTTTATTTTTTACTTTATTTTCAGGTATTTTATTATCAAATTTATAAATATACTTGTCCTAAAGAATTATAGGAGAGTCCAATTTTGTTCACCCTCTCTCAAGAGGGTTATAGTCACCCATCATTCCCTTCATGCTATGTGGCATTGCATTTTTTCAAGTGATTATAATTTATTAATTTATTTATGGTCCATTTTTTAAAAAAGTTAGAGTATATCAAACTAAGTATTTTATATGATCTTTTCAATGGTACTTGTATTGCATGTAAAAAATTGAAAAAAACTATTTTTTCTAAATATCTAGCTAGTCCTATTTTTTATATATTTCAAATACTCCGTATGCAATATTGGTATTATCAGAAAGATCATAAAAAATTTTGATATATATTTTTAAAAAATTGAACAATTAATTAAATGTTATAACAATCACAAAAAATCTTTCAAAAAAAAAACAATCACAAAAAAAAAAAGTGTCATGCCACATGACAACTCAATAGCGAAGGTGGTGAACATCACTCTCATTTGAGGGTGTGGATAAAATTGCAAGGAGTAGAAGGAAAAGGGAACACAAATTACTCCTATGATTTTTTTATATCTGATAATGACTTCATTAATAGTGAGAGCCTAAATTTTGGTGTACAAGAGAGTCAAAAAAACGACGAAAAATTAGAAGGAAAATTTTACGGTGCACTCACGTTTCAGACTGTTTAGGTGCATTTCACAGGTGTCTTCATTTTATTCGTTGTTTATTCCAACTCATATACTTCCATCCTAAAAAACGAATGTCCTGAATTGCATTTTAAGTCCTCGCCTAACCCCTGATTTCTCGTTTTTGTTTTGCGATATTGAAGAAACCAATCGAAATGAAACTATGAAATTATGAAAGGATCTTCCATCCTCCACCATGTTTTCTGATGATCCAAACAAAGAATTCGGAGCCAGATATACAAGAGGTTCTTCCATCCTCCACCATGTTTTCTGTGACATTTTTTACTAAGGTATTCTATACCCAAGAGCGCAGAACAACTTCATGGCTCAATCCACTCCGCAATGGTAGTAAGTTCCATTGTCTCTAACTGATTCACTTGATATTGTGCACAGATTATGATCTTAAATTGTTCTTCCCTAATTTGAATTTTGGATTGCAAGTTTATGTTCTTTCTGTGTAGTTCCAGCTTTAACACCTTAGACATTTGAACATACAAAAATAGAAAATGGGTGTCTTAGTTTACCAGCTTTCAAAATCGCAAAACATATTATGAGCTGAAATTGAGTAAAGTTTCAATTCCAATAGGAGAAAATAAAGGTAAGATCAGGTCATTGAACATAAATGGATGTCAAGTCAAAGAAAGAATGTCACTAAGTAAATATGGTTAAGGAGGGGAATCTAGGAGTACTTCCCTAGAGAATTAGAAAAGCTCCCATCTTTCATTTCATTTGTGCTAGCACAATTCTGTTTTTACAAAATAATAGCCATGTTCAGTTATAGTATCAATTTGAATCCTTATAAAATATGCTGTAAGGATTTAGTTTGAATTTTTTATGACTTCAACCTACTAATTTTCAGAAAGTCAGATCATCTCATGGCCTAAAAGTTCTGATTACGTCATGGAGTCAACTGCAGTCTTCACCAACAAGGACTAGGGCGCTAGGCTTCTACTGACTTGAGGTTCAATATTCATCTATTTTGCTGGAGTATATGTTTTGTACTAATGTAATTGTTCATCATTCTGTGACTCATACATCTTGTTGATGATCACCTCTCTAACTGCTCAAACTGGTAGTACAATATGTTTATCAGAAAATAATGACATTATGGACCGTCACATCTAAAGTTACACAATAACTATAAGGCTTAAGCACACTAAATAACATTCATTAGTATATTTCTAATTATCAGTAATTCATCTTTTTAAGCAATACAAATAAAAACTTTGGGGGGTCGCCCTGCAAACGAGGGTGAAAACTTCATATCCCTGCCGGTAGTAATCCTCTATCATTGTAAACCTACTAGTTAAGCTTTATAAACCCATACAATGCTTTTTTTATTTACAGCTTCAGATAGTAACACTAGGTGACTTCCATAATATCTAATTTGTTCAGTATGTGTTTGGTAATTTATTCCACCTCACCTTTCTCCTAAAAATATATTTAAAATTGCACAGTAAGTCCTTTCCGGACAACATTTTTTGTGATTTTGCCTACTAGGGAAATATCCATTCCCGTTTTCTGATTTTGCTTGGGCAACAACGATGACAGAAACGAAAGCTCCTCTACATTTTGCTGAAATGAAGATCAACCAGTGCGAGAGAAATGAAAGGCTTCCATCCCCTGTATTCTCATCCAATGAGGTTGTAGAGCTGGCTCAATCACGGAATCACCTTCACAATAACTCTAGGTAAGTTTTATCATCTCTGATTTGTTCACTACACACTCTTCACTAATTTGTTATACCTGGTTTAGATTTTTGGATTGTGACCTGATTTCATGTCAATTTAAATGAACTAAATATTTGATTTTTTAAATATCTATATAATTAGATTGGACTATTCACCTTTGTACTCTAGGAGTTATTTGCTTGGATACTCAGAACGTCTTTACTCTTCTTCATCTACTGTTGTCGAGATCATTAAACACATAAAACATGACATGTTCACTTGGACTTATGTTCTTAAGCATTCTAATGCTAAATTTAGCCTTAATGTTCATGCTTCTAATCTGGCAGGGGTTCCAATTTGAGGTAGTCCCATGGTCCCTGTGTTTTGCGTTCACTATTCTATAGCTGGCACAACATTCTCTAGAATGGACCATATATAGTAGCAGCCAGCAGGATATACTACCTTTGATAATCCCAAAATACAAACAAACAACAAATATAGCAGTTATAGAAGAAGCAGATAGAAAGAAATCGACAAGTTTATACCCAAATCTGGTATACCGTATGAACTGGCCGCTGCTCTCCCTGGAGAAGGAGAGCAGCGGCAAACCTAAACTCTCTCTATCTTTACGCCTCTGAACTCTAAGCCTCTCACGATTATCGTTGTTAGGGTTCCCGTAAGTTAGCCTCCTTTTATAGGAGAAGTTGGCTAACTTACGGGT